CCAGGACCCTTTAGCATCGCATCACCCCACCCCTTGCCCGCATCCGCTCATCCGCTCTGTACCTCCGCTGTATATACACCTCCCTTTCACAATACAGTGAGACCTGCTTCCACTGGGCTCCCCACCGCGTCTGATCGTCCCCCGGGGTTGGGGAGGCTGAGTGGCGGGTGGCGCACTTGCCCTCCTCGGCCAAGGCAAGCTGTGGGCAGCCTGCCTAATTCTCCAGCAGTGACAAGGAAGGGTCACCGCAGTCCGTTTATAGAAGACCCTAGAACAGGCTAAGTCTCCTATAAGGAGCCAGTGTTGTGGCGCACTGGGTTAAGTGTGATGCTGACACCCCTTACTGCTCCACTTCCGATGCAGCTCCCTGCTAATGTGCCTGGGAAGGCAGCAGAGGATGGACCAAGTGCTCGGGCCCCGCACCCCAGCGGGAGACCGGGGTGGAATCCCAGCTCCGGGCTTCAGCCTGGCCCAGCCGCGGCGTTGCAGAGATTTGTTTGCATTGTGAAGCAGCCCCTGGAAGATGTTTCTCTCTCCCCCTCCCTTCCTCTCTCTCTCTCTCTCTCTCTCTCTCTCTCTGTATGTGTGTGACTCTGGCATTCAAATCAATACATCACTCTTTTTAAAAAAATCTATAAAGGCAAATCAAGCCTTGAGATTGACCAGAGGGCCCGCAGGCACGCGCGGGGGTGAGGCCGTGGCTCCGTGTTGCCGGGGGTGCTCCGTGGCCGGGTGAACTCACTGCACTTGTCTCAGTGGATTTGAGGCGCCTGTCCCTCGGGGAGCGGCCGAGTGACCAGCCTCAAGCGGAAGCTGCTCACAGGAGAGCTTCATCCTGATGTTTATTCATTTTCCTTTCCATGGAAGGCAGTGAGAGAGAGAGAGAGAGAGAGAGAGAGAGAGAGAGAGAGATCCTCCATCTGCCGGCTCCCTCCTCAAATGCGCACAATGGCCAGGGCTGGGCCAGGCTCCACCCAGGTCTCCCAGGTGGGCTCTGCCCAGGGACTCATCGCCTGCTGACCAGCAGGAAGCTGGCTCGGAGGCAGAGCAGTCAGGACTGGAAGCAGCGCTCTGACGTGGGTGTGGGCAGCTTAACCCCCGAACCACCACGGCCTCCCCAAGGGGGCCTTGCTCACCTGTGACAAATAATGGAGACGGCTAAGTGGGAAGGGACAGCCCCCTAAAGAAACTCTGGCACCGGCGCTGTGGCGCAGCAGGTGAAGCCACTGTCTGCAGCGCCGGCATCAAGTCCCGGCTGCTCCACTTCTGATCCAGCTCCCTGCTGATGGCCTAGGAAAGCAGTAGAAGACGGCCCAAGTGCTTGGGCCCCTGCACCCGTGTGGGAGACCTGGAAGAAGCTCCTGACTTTTGGCCTGGCCATTGCAGCCATTTGGGGAGTGACCAGTGGATGGAAGACCTCTCTCTCTGTCTCTGTAACTCTGACTTTCAAATAAATAACAAATAAAACATGGCAGCGTTGCTCAGCTCCGCCTCCCCAGGAAGGTTGTGTGTCCGTGTCCGCTATTCCGGGCTCCTGCAGCCTGGGAAGGCCCCTAACTCCCAGCAGGGGGTCTGTGCCCCAGGCTCCGGAAGCCCCTTGCTCCCGATTGATTGGCTTGGAGCTGGTTCCCGGGGGTCTGACCGAGGCCAGTTTCTGTCCAGTCTCTGTGTGACCCTGCGACCTTCTCTCCTCCAAGAGAAGCCGGGGCCCAGGAAACAGCCTGCTCCGGTCAGCCAGACTCATCCCAGCACTGCCCGGCCACAGCACACAGGCTGGCGGAGGGGCCACGCCCCCTCTTGTCCCTTTCCTCTGGGGTGGGCGCAGTGTCCCGCCCCTCCCCCCTCCCCGTCTCCTCGCACAGCCCTGGTGAGCCCTCCGGGTCTGGGAGGCAGCAGGCCAGGGCCTGACCCAGCGCCGGCCACCGAGGGCGCCGGCAGCCTCCAGTGGGATGGCCCTGACCGCTCCCGCACCCACGCCTTCCCTGACAAGGCCTCTTTGTCCCCAACGCCTCTGCCTCTGCTGCCAGGAGCGTGGCCGTCCCCGTCCCCAGCGTTTGGCTGCTGGGAGCCTGGGGCGGCGTCAGCACCGGACCGGCAGGATGAGAGCAGGAGGGGCATCCTGGGCCGAACCCGGTCTACGCCACAAACGCCGGCGCCAGCACGGAGAAGGCAGCACCCTCTGTGCCGGGTTTCCATGGAGCTGGCCGAGCCAGGGAGGGACCGAGAGGCCCGGGGTCCTGACGGGGGCTCGTCTGCTGATCCCGGATGCTTCTCCCTGAGCGACTTCCTTGCCGGGACCCAGGGCTGCCCCCCCAACGCCTTCATCACACCCCAGCTTCCTGGTCCCCCAGCCCGTGGCCGCCTGTCTGCAGGCTCAGCCCTGTGCGTGTAAGTCACTCCTTTCTGAGATCACACGGCGTTTGCTGACTTCACAGCCGGCCTGCAGGCCCCCAGCACTCCTCCGCCGCGTCCACTCCGGCTGTTTGGGTCTCGGTCCCAGCGTGGCTGACCTGTGTCACCATCCAGCTGCCCTTACCTTCAGGACTCGTGGCTGTCAGGGGTGGACACCCCCACCCCAGCAGCTTCTCCCCACCCTGGTGGCTCGCGTCTGCACCTGTCAGAAAGACCACACAGCTGGGCCCCGCTGGCTCCACCACGGCTTCCTCTCCTGCCGCACTCCGGGACTCACCTGGAAGCCCACGGGACAGCAGCAGCGCCCGGAGGGGACGCCTGTGGGCGGGATCACCTGACCGCTCCGTCCGCAGCCTCGTTGACCTCGGAACCTGGAGACCCACTGAAGGCAGGACCGGACCCTGTCTCTGGCCAGATGTACAGAACCCCGTTACTGACCTGGTTACCCCTCTAGGGGGCAGACGGGGACCTGGAGGGGGGTATTGGAGGGACGCCCCAGGGCACTAAGATGGGCTCGCAAACCCAAAGTGTGCCTCCCTCTGTGGGGCCTGCTCTCCCTCTGGACCCCGGTTCTCGAAGGCCAGGCTGGGTTCTACCGTGGGCAGGCTCAGACCAGGCAGTGGACAAGATGACCGTGTCTCCAGGTGCTGCTGGCTCCACACCAGGAGGCGGAAACCCAGCTGCCCCTCCAAAGAGCTCATGGACAGGCCCCGGGTTGGTGGCCAAGCTGCCTCACCTCCCTGGGCTAGCCACTGCCCCTCAGGACACACTCAGGAAGTGCCACGCAGCTGCCGGGGCTGGCTGCGCTGCTGGCCGGCAGTGTCCAGTCTTGGCAGCACTCCGCCGGCCAGCGCTGCCTCTGCTGGCTTCCTCAGACCCGAGGGGTGGCAGACACAGGGTGGGGCAGGGCTGCAGGCTCCCCTCTTTTTTTAAAACATTTTTTTCCAAAGATTTATTTATTTGCAAGGTGGAGTTTAGAGAGAGAGAGAGGGTGCCACAGACAGAAATCTTCCATCTACTGCTTCACTCCCCAAATGGCCACCATGGCCAGAGCTGGGCCAGGATGAACCCAGGAGCCAGGAGCTGCATCCGGGTCTCCCACGTGGGTGCAGGGGCCCAAGCACTTGGACCATTATCTGCTGCTTTCCCAGGCACATTAGCAGGGAGCTGGATCAGAAGTGGAGCAGCTGGGTCTTGAACCGGAGCCCATATGGGATACTTGTGTCACAGGCGGCGGCTTTACCCGCTGTGCCACGGCGCTGGCCCCGAGCTGCCCCCCGCCCCCCGACAATTCCGACAAAGGAGGCCACGTGCAGCTGCTGGGACCTGCAGCGTTGACCAGCCCGTGGAGCCGCCTTCCCCACTAGGACCCAGAAGGGCCAGGCCAGCCCAGTGCAGCCCGTGGCCTCCAACACCTCGGACTTTCTGACCAAGTCCAGGTGGCCCAGCTCTCAGAAGATGCTCCCCCCCGGCTAGGTCATCTCAAGGTCAAAGGCCAGAGCAGGAGGGGGTGCTTGGTGCTGCAGTGAAGCAGTGCCTGGGGCACAGCGTCTGGGGCTGAGTCCCCTCTCCTGCAGGTGCACACCTGGGAGGCAGCGGGTGATGGCTCAAGGACCCTGGTCCCTGGACAGCTTCTGAGGGCACTTGGGGAGTGACCCAGAGGATGGACAAGCTCTCTCCCTCTCTCTCTCTCTCTTCCTCCCTCTCCCTGTCGCTCCGACTTTAAACAGGCCACAGCAGTGGACGTGGCTGGATCCTGCCAAGACGCTGGATGAAGTGGCCGGTGTGGGAGAGTGGGCTGTAACTGGACTTGGTGAAACACAAGCCAGTCCTGGGGAGGTGCCCTGGACCACCTCCGAGAAGCCTGCCCTGCATGAGGGGGTGCACGGGGGACACCCCAAGAAGCGCAGAGGTGGGATTCCCAGCCCTGGAGGAGGGGTGCAGCTGCAGCTGCCGGTGGGAAAAGAGACCCCGAGGGAAGCTGGCAGGCGGCGCCCTGGCTTTGTAACTTGACAGTAACAGCCACCCAACAGCCCCACAGCAGTGGGGGGGTCCGCCCCTGCAGGCTCGGCCCAGGGCCCCCACCAGGTGGGACAGCTGAGCAGGTTCTCAGCCCTAGGCGGCTGGACAATGTGCCGAGCGAGGAGGAGTCTCCATTAGTTGGGGCCACCGTGGTCACTCAGCGACCCCCAGACCGCCCCCGGGGGCTGGCGACCCCCACCTTGCGCCTGAGTGGCGATGAGGCGCTCCTGAGCGACCCTCCCCTGTCCCGCTGGCTCTGTCCAGGGTGCTGAGCCCCCCTGGCTCCCCCAGGTCCCGCCCTGGCGGCTGGAGGCGGAGGGAGGCGCTCAGGGACGCCGGGTGCAGACCCGGGTGCGGGCAGCGCGCAGCGGCAGGAGGCGCCTCCCTGGGCCGGGGTCCACCGCCCGCCCAGCGCGCGCGAGCCCGGCCGCGAGGGAGGAGGCGGGCGGAGGGCGCCTCCGAGCTGGGTCCGCAGCGCGGCGGTACGGCGCGGGTCCGCGGGCCGGGCGTGGGTCCCGCGGGGCGAGCCCGGCAGCGGCGCCTGCGTCCTGGCGCGCCCCGGGGCCGCCTCTTCCTGCCGGCGCCGAGTTTCGGTTTCGCCGCGGGGCGAGTGCAGCCCCGCGCTCCGACGGCCGCGGCTCCCGGGCTGCTGACGGCAGGTGGCGTGCGGGGCGGCCCCTCGTGGGGTCCCGAGGACTTGCCCGGGCCGCGGCCGCACAGACGCGCGTCTCCGGGGCTCGGTGGCTTTCACCGGAGCGGCGGGCGCGGGACCGAGGCCAGGTGGGCGCCGCGGGGTGGAAGGCGTCGGAGGTGGGGCGTGGAGCAGGTGCAGAGTGGGGGGAGCCACCGGGCCCGAAGCCCGCTTTCTTCGCGGCTGGGGGCGGGGAAGGGGGGAGGGGCTATTGGCCTTGAGTTCTCAGGTGCCCCCTGCCCACCTGGGACTGTGTGACACCAGCGGGTCCGTAGGTAGATTTCAAGCAGGGTGTTTGGAGAAACTGCAGGCCTGGGGGTAACTCCGATGTGTTGGGTCAAGGAGGGTTGGACACCTGGTGCATAACAAGAGGGCGGCCTCAGGGACCCCCCACCAGCCCCAAGCCCCCTTCCGTTCTCAGACTCCCGTGTCTGACCTCCCCCAGCCCCTGTCTGGGGGACTGCGTGGGCTTGTAGCTAGTGTGTATGGTTTTCCTGCTGTTCTCTGTGCCCAGAGAGCCCAGGCGGCTGGGGGGAGCCACTGTTCTGCCTCCTGCAGAAGCGTCTGAGTGAGGGGAGGAGGTGCCCGGACCCCTGGGTGGTGGGGCGCAGTGGACGCTGGGCTTGGCCAGGCCAGCGAGCTGCACCACTGGTGTCCATCCCGGGAGGAGGTTGTGCGAAGGAGCCGCTGCTTGGCCTGGCTCCACGGAGTTCTTGGCCCAAAGCCCGCAGAGAAGGGAGTGTCTCGGTGCTCCTGGGTTCTGCCACGAGTCTGAGCCGCGCCTGGCTGGCGTGCACACTGCGTCAGTGGAGGCCGAGCGCGCCCACCCCTGCTGACCTGGGCGTGGGACTCAGCAGAGCTCAGAGCGGGGCGGGCAGCGGCAGAGGGGCAGCGGGCGGCAGGCCAGGTGTCGGTGTCCGACGACCACAGGGGACACAGGTCGCCCTAGCCCGGGGTGTGTGTGCCCCAGGCAGATTGCCGCCGGCTGGGGGGCATTTCCATCATGGGGGGGTCACTTCCATCACGCGGGGCTTCTGTTTTGCTGGGGATTTTTGCTGGCGGCTTCCTCATTGCCAGGGGTCCTGGGCCCTTGACCTGGCTGATGCCACTGGCCACAGAGGGGGTCAGGGATGGGGCCTGCACACATGGCAGCTCTGCTAGCCCTGCCCTCCCTGACCCCACGTGGTCACCGGCGATTCCGGGGTGCTGTCGGGCTCTTCCCGCGCGGCATACCCAGTGTTCACCTGGGGTTTCCCCTGTGAGGCAGGTGTGCCTGCCCCCTTCCCAGGTGAGGTACCAGGACAGGCAGCAGCCCCCTCAGGGGTTCTGCAGGCTGGACCCCAATACCGGCTCCCATCCTGTGACCAGCAGCCGAGCTGGGGAAGCCCACCCGGCCCACCGGCTCCCCTCTCGCTCAGGAGGGAAGGTGCACGGCGCAGAGGCTGGGTGAACTTGCTATGGGAGTGTTTTCTGTAGAATCCCAGGACTGGGTCCATGGGCCTGGCCTGCAGAAAGCCAGTGCAGAGTTAGAGAGAGCGAGAGAGAGAGAGGTCTTCCACCCACGGGTTCACTCCCCAAATGGAGAGAGAGAGAGAGAGAGAGGTCTTCCACCCACGGGTTCACTCCCCAAATGGCTGCAATGGCTGGGCCAGGCCAAAGCCCGGATCCCGGAGCTCTGGCCAGGTCTCCCAGGTGGGTGGCAGGGACTTGGAAGCTGGACTCAAACTGGTGCTCACACGGGACGCCCGTGCGATGCTGGTGGCGTGGCAGGCGGCAGCTTAACCCGCTGTGCCACAGCCGGCCCCAGGGCAGTGGATCTGCCGGTGCAGATGTTACCCGCGAGGCTGGGATAGGTCCTGGTGCCCCGGAAGTAACCAGCTCCAGGTTGTGGAGGAGCAGCGGTGAGAGGCGGGGCCCTGGTTCAGGTGGCTGGGCCGCTTCTCCCCTGTGTCCCCCCACCCCCTTCTGGGATTTCGCTGGGCCAAGGGCTTTCCAGGAGTGAAACCCCCTTGTTCTCAGCCTGATTAGCATCGGAATAGCTGCTGGGACGCCCGGGGAGCAGGCTGGGCCCCGGGACTCTGCCGGGCAGTGCTGCGCCAGCCGCTTCCTTTCCTGTCACTTCCCTTCGTCCCCATTCACAGGCGGGGCTGGGGCTGGGGGCTGTGGGGGGGCTGGGGGCTTCTGGTTGGTCCACGGGGGCGTGGCCAGTGATGGGGGCCAGCGCGTGGCCAGTGGGTTGGCGGGACTGAGTCCAGGGGCAGGGTGGGTATCAGTTTCTCTGATGGGGGGCTTGGCATTCCTGAGAAAGTCTGGGACAAGTTGGCTGCGGGGGTGGGGGTGGTCTGGGAGCGGCAGGATTCCCGGGAACAGAGGCCGGCATTGAGATGTTAACCAGGCAGTTGTGCTCTGAGAAACTAAACGTTGCAAACTGAGGGAGAGAGAAGGATGCAGATGTGTCCGAGGGTGAGGGGACTGGGGCAAGGTTACAGGCTCCGGACGGGAGGGGGGAGGAGGAGGAGGAGGAGGAGGAGGCTGTGAGGGCGTGAGGGAAGTGGTTCCTGGGTGGAGCAGGTGGAGCTGGCCTTGGGACCGGGGGCAGGTGCAGGGGTACCCTGGGCTGGGTTTGCGTTGACTGGGGACCGCGGGGCTGCAGGATTTTCAGTTTCCCAGAAAATGAAACCTAAGCGGGCGGGCGGTCACGTGACGGGAGGCGTGGTTCCCAGCTGCCGGCTCGCGCTTTCGCCTCCAGGTCGGCGGCGGTCGGCACCGGCTGCCAGAAACCCCCAGGCGGGCGGACGCATGGAGTGTCCGGCGTGCCATCACGTCTCCAGCGAGGAGGCCCCCAAGTTCTGCAGCGAGTGTGGGGAGAGGCTGCCACCCGCGGGCGCCCTGCCAGGTAAGGCCCGTGGGTGCACCGGGGGGACACTCGTGCCCAGCAGGCACCCAGGTGCCCCCAGTGTCCTGCGGCTCCGACTCGGTCCCGGGCCGAGGAGGAGGCCGTGGGCTGCCCGGGAAGGCGGCTGCGTCGGGCCCTGCGCCCAAGGTGCCCCTTGCCTTGTAAAGTCCACTTCCCGGCCGGCGCCGCGGCTCACTAGGCTAATCCTCCGCCTTGCGGCGCCGGCACACCGGGTTCTAGTCCCGGTCGGGGCGCCGGATTCTGTCCCGGTTGCCCCTCTTCCAGGCCAGCTCTCTGCTGTGGCCCGGGAGTGCAGTGGAGGATGGCCCAGGTGCTTGGGCCCTGCACCCCATGGGAGACCAGGAAAAGCACCTGGCTCCTGGCTCCTGCCATCGGATCAGCGCGGTGCGCCGGCCGCAGCGCGCCGGCCGCGGCGGCCATTGGAGGGTGAACCAACGGCAAAGGAAGACCTTTCTCTCTGTCTCTCTCTCTCACTGTCCACTCTGCCTGTCAAAAAAAAAATAAATAAAAAAATAAATAGTAAAGTCCACTTCCCACCCAGAACCCAGGGTCCCCCTTCAGCCTCGGGCTGGGGAGTGTCGGGCAGGGCTGAGAGGTTCTCAGAGGACTTCAGGGGTGCTGCTGGGGTGGGGACCCTGCCTGGGTCTGTTTGTAAAGTGAGGGGTCCCTGCCGGCCCCTCCTGGCTCAGGGCGGCGGCGAGTGACTGACAGGAGCTGGGCCACGCACCTGCCGACGCCGCCTCAGCCGGTGCTGCCCTCTCCGACCCGGGCCCCTCCATCATCTCCCTCTGCTGGCCTCGTCCGGTTCTGTGGTTTTAGTTACTTATATTAAAAAGTATTTATTTACTTAAAGAGATAGAGAGAGGTCTTCCATCCGCTGGTTCACTCCCCAGAGGGCTGCAATGGCCAGGGCTGGGCCAGGAGCCGGGAGCTTCCTCCGGGTCTCCCACATGGGTGCAGGGGCCCAAGCATTTCTGCCGCTGCTTTTCCAGGCCACAGCCAGGAGCTGGATCAGACGTGGAGCGGCACCCATACGGGACGCGGCGCTGCGGGCCATTGCTTTCCCCGCTCCGCCGTTCTGTGGTTGCAGTGCCGCCCAGGTCCTGGCAGTGCCGCCCAGGTTCTTCCTTTCATCTCAGCTGACTGCACGGCCCTGAGGCCTGGCTGCCCGGAGGACACCCAGCACCGTCCCTGGCTCCTCTCCCTTCCTGCCCCACATCCAATTCCAAGGAGACCCCCTGTCTGCACCAGCACCACCTCCTGGCACCCCAGGATGGCTGTGCGCCCAGGTGCATCCCCCACCTGCTAGGGCTCCCCAGGCCGGGCCTCTAGGAGGAGCGTCCGCGTGGTGGGGCCCCGAGGACTCCGGGGCCCCACGGGGCTCTGCCGTGTGGAGAGCAAGGTAGCTCACCTGTGCGCGCCCAGCCCAGCGGAGGGAGCGCCCCAAAACCCTCATTCCAGAGGTGCTGAGAGCGAGGCACAGAGAGGCCTGTAAGTGGCCTGTGGTCACACAGCTGAGCAGCTGGCAGAGACAGGAGTGGGCCTCCGGGGGCTGCTGGTCTGGGGACTCCGTGGACGGCCCGGGCCCGCGGCCCTGTACCTGCAGTCCTGGGAAAGCCTTCCTGGCTGTGAGCCTGGGGTTAGAATTCATCCCTGGGGCTGGGCAGAGCAGGGGCCCCGCGCGTGGCTGGCGAGAGGTGGTGTGGACCACGGAGCGCCCGCCGCGCCCCTCCCGGGCAGCGGTGACCTCCGGAGGCCTCACATTCCTCCCCTGGGCATGTGACGTTCTCTCCAGATGCCCGTGTGCTGGGAACAGAAACCGAAAGCAGGATGTGGGCTGGGAGCCGGCCGCAGCTCCTCCTCCCGGCCGCTGCAGGTCTGCCGGCTGCCCGGTCTCTGCCGGCTGCCTGGTGGTGGGAAGAGGAGCACCGGGGTAGAGGCACGGAGTGGGGGGTCCCTGGCTGCCCACCCGCCCCACCCCGCCCCACCCCGCGCCCCGGCCCCAGGCGGTTACCGCGAGGGCTGAGGGTCTGGGTGATGGATGTCTTTTTCCTTTTTGTGCTCTGAGCTTTCTTGAAGGATCGGGGTTGCTGTATCTGGAGGAATAAGATGGGGAGCCTGAGGCCGGAGTCCAGGCAGGGGCGCGTGCGCAGGCGGCGGTGGTGGGGTGGGCACTGGCTGAGAGCGGGCACGGGTGCAGGACGTGGTGCCTGCAGGTGCCCTGGGCAGCTCGTGCGGCTGAGGGAGGCCTGTGCCGGTCTCGGCGAGGGACCTCGGGGTGCCCAGGTGGGCGTGCAAGGGGCAGTGGACGTTTCGGTGTCTGGGGCCACAGACGTGGGCTGGGAGAGCAGCGTTTTCTGTCGCGAAGTGGACATAACACGTGACTTGGCTTTTTTATTTTAATCATGTATTTATTTATTTGAAAGGCAGAATTACAGAGAGAGAGAGAGAGAGAGAGAGAGAGATGTTCCGTCCCTGGTTCACTCCCCAAGCGGCCGCAGTGACCAGGGCTGGGCCAGGCCCAAGGCAGGCACTCCATGCGGGTCTCCCATGTGGGCGCTGCTTTCCCAGGTGCCTCTGCAGAGGGCTGGGTCAGGAGCAGAGCGGCCGGGCATTGAACTGGCGCTCTGACGGGATGTCGGCATCGCAGGCGCCGGCGAAACCCGCTGAGCCACACTGCCGGCCCCACGGCGTGCGGGACTGCCCTGGGGCGGCACCAGGCACGGCCTGCTCAGTGCTGGTGGCCGTCGTCCTGGCCCCCCTCCTGAACCTTCTCATCCTCCCGAGGTGCAGCTGTCCGAGCGCCCACTCCTGAGCCGCAGCCCCCCACGTCTCCCACGTCCGACTTCCCGCGTTCCTCCCGACGGGCCTCGCCGGCTCTGAAGTGCACGTGTGGCTTCCTTCTGGGAGGGGCCGGGCTCGCTTGGGCTTCACGGCTGCCAGAGGCCGACCCAGGGGGACAGCGTCACGGTGGGAGGCTCGCGTGGACGTCGCCCGGCTGACCCCTGAGCGAGCACGCGGCTCCTGCCCGCGAGCTCCTGGCTCCCTCCGCCATGACCGATTTCGGGATCTGTCTGGAGGAGGGCGCGGCCCGCTGCGCTGTCTCTGGGTAGCTGTGCCTCTGTGTCCCTGCCCACAGAGCCCGCAGCCAGCAGGGCCTGGTGCGCTGCACGCTCCCGGGGCTGGGGCGGGGCTGGCTCTGATTCTGCCACGGGTCGGGGGGCGAGGACTGAGGCCTGGAGCCTGGGTTCCAGCCCTGCCGGCTGGGAGCGCGTGTTTGCGTCATGGCACGGCACGGCACGGCACGGCGTGGTGCGGTGCCGGGCAGGCTGCTCCCAGTGCTGCCTGGGGAGGACGCCCTGAGCTGACTCGCTGGACGCTGTGGGTGCTCGTGCTTCTCAGCCCCACTGCTTTCCCCTGGATGGTTCTAGAAGTGTACTTGCAGACAGAACCAGGAGGCCTGAAGTCCCCCGCCCCTCTCTGTGCCAGCTCCATCCTCCGGCCGGACGCAGACGGGCCGAGGTCTCTGCGTCAGATCTGTTGGTCCCTCCAGCAGGATGCGGCCGAGACCCCAGCAAGGAAGCCCCGGCCCTTTCTTGAGTCCGGCTCTGTGGCCCGGGTGGATGCCAGGTTCTGATTGGGTGCAGCCAACCAAGGCCCGCCCCTCCTGCTGGAGGAGGGGGCGGCAGCCAGCAGAGTCCGGGTGTGTTAGGAAGCCCAGCAGGCACCCGGGCTGTGTGTGTGGCTTCTGACCGTCGGGTCTTGAGTGTGCTCCGTCCCGAGTCCCGCCCCAGAGCTGCCTTCAGCCCACGGCTCCTGAGGGCTCCGGGTGTCCAGGCGCCACGGCCAGCGTGGTCCCTGCCCTCAGAGCTCAGCGTGGGGGCAGGGCAGTGAGAACAGAGGGCGCGTGTGGAGAGGCAGAGGGAAGGGGCTGGGGCAGCGTCAGGCTGGGGGAAGCCCCAGCTGGGACCCTCGGGTGTGAGAGCCGTGGGGTCACTGAGACCCTCGGAGCAGGCAGGGGGTCAGGTGCTCCGTGCTGGTGGGTGACGGCTCAGTGTGGGCCTGGTCCTGGGGCTGACCGACGGGATGGACGGATGGGTCAGGGCCAGGATGGGAGGCGCTGGGCCCCTGGGGACCGGGGACCGGGCGGTGTGTCCTGGAGAGCGGGACATCGGCCCGCATCCTGCTGCGTCCTGGCAGAAAATGCGGGTGTGGACCTGGAGGGGATGTTTTGGCTGCCCGGCCTCTGTCTGGTCGGTCCCCTTGTTGCGTCTGGGGCCGGGTCCCTGGCTCCGTCCTGCCCGCCTGGCTGCAGGGGCGTGGCCTGCCCTTGCCCGTGGGTCCAGCGAGGGGTCTCAGAGGCAGCCGGGCTCCTGTCTCAGCGCACGCCCCAGAGAGTGCTCATCCCGCTTCCTCCCTGCAGGCTCCAAGAATGACAGTGGCGCTGGCACCGTGGCCGTGGCCCTGGAGGCAGGTGTGCAGTGTGTGGACACGGCACGGGCAGGAGACGGGGCCCCTGCCTCGACCCTGGGCTCAGGTGATTGGCAGGAAAGCGCAGATGAGCCCGGCTCCGACGCCTCCTGGACCGTCCAGTTGGTGAGTCTCCGCCCCCGCAGCTCACCTGCACCCCTGCCCTGCCGGCGAGCTGTGCCCGCTCTCGGGGTGGCTGGGCCAGGCTGGCCCCGAGCCCGCTCACCAACCGTGTCCTCATGGCAGCCGCCCCGGAGCCGCCTGGCGGCACTGCTGCCCTGTGCCCGCCTCGCCCACCACGGAGTCTCCACCTTCTGCCCTGTGTGTGCCGTGCCCACCATGGTCTCTGCACAGCCGCTGCCCAGAGGCCTCTGCCTGCTCGGGCAGGGGCAGGTGCAAGGCAGCGCGCTGGCCGCGGGCCACCCTTCCTCAAAGGCTGAGCCCTCGCCGTCTTGGACGAACTGGACAGGATCGGGGGTGGTCTCGGCAAGGCCCTCGCCAAAGCCTGACCTGTTCAGGAGGGGGAGGAGGGGAGAGTGGGAGGGGTCAGCTCCCGGCTCCCCGAGCCCCGTGCTGTGGATGGGGGGTCAGCTCCCGGCTCCCCGAGCCCCGTGCTGTGGATGGGGGGTCAGCTCCCGGCTCCCCGAGCCCCATGGTGTGGATGGGGGGTCAGCTCCGGGCTCCCCAAGCCCCGTGCTGTGGATGGGGGGTCAGCTCCCGGCTCCCCGAGCCCCATGGTGTGGATAGGGGGTCAGCTCCCGGCTCCCCGAGCCCCGTGGTGTGGATGGGGGGTCAGCTCCCGGCTCCCCGAGCCCCGTGCTGTGGATGGGGGGTCAGCTCCCGGCTCCCCGAGCCCCATGGTGTGGATGGGGGGTCAGCTCCCGGCTCCCCGAGCCCCGTGGTGTGGATGGGGGGGTCACCTCCCGGCTCCCCGAGCCCCATGGTGTGGATGTGGGGTCAGCTCCCGGCTCCCCGAGCCCCGTGCTGTGGATAGGGGGTCAGCTCCCGGCTCCCCGAGCCCCATGGTGTGGATGGGGGGTCAGCTCCCGGCTCCCCGAGCCCCGTGCTGTGGATGGGGGGTCAGCTCCCGGCTCCCCGAGCCCCATGCTGTGGATGGGGGGTCAGCTCCCGGCTCCCCGAGCCCCATGGTGTGGATGGGGGGTCAGCTCCCGGCTCCCCGAGCCCCATGGTGTGGATGGGGGGTCAGCTCCCGGCTCCCCGAGCCCTGTGGTGTGGATGGGGGGGTCAGCTCCCGGCTCCCCAAGCCCCATGGTGTGGATGTGGGGTCAGCTCCCGGCTCCCCGAGCCCCGTGGTGTGGATGGGGGGTCAGCTCCCGGCTCCCCGAGCCCCGTGGTGTGGATGGGGGGTCAGCTCCCGGCTCCCCGAGCCCCGTGGTGTGGATGGGGGTCAGCTCCCAGCTCCCCGAGCCCTGTGGTGTGGATGGGGGGTCAGCTCCCGGCTCCCCGAGCCCTGTGCTCACGCACACGGCTGTGTGCAGCTTGCCGGTCCCCACTGGCCTTTCTGCTGGGCCCTGCGGGCTGCTCTGTCTGTGTTCTTGGGGGCGGGGGCAGTGACAGCTCTGGGCTGTGACTGAGCGGTGCGTGTGGTGCTGCTTTGGGGTCTGGGGCCGATGGGCGCTCGGTGCCGGGCTGTGTCTGGCGTGTGGCCTGCTGTGGTGTGTCTGTGTGGGATGTGTCTGTTGGGATGTGTCTGTGTGTGTTGTGAGGGACTGCATGAGCCTTGTGTGTAGGAACAGAATGCGGTTCCGAATCTCTTGTCCCGGGGCTGGGCGAGGGCAGTGAGCAGAGCGCTCTGGGCTGTGCTGACCTGGGGGTTCACTCTGGGTGAGAGGACGAAGCCCCACGCCCACGCTGTGGGGGCCTTGTGCTGCCCCCCCCCCCCAGCAGACAGGTGTGGAAGGCGAAGCCCGTTGATTTGAGCACACTCATGTAGGGCTGCGGCTGCGGCTGCTGCTGCCCTGGCCTGGCCCCACACCTGTCAGTCACCGTCCAGGTGGTCCTGGTGCCGTGGCGGAGGGTGGGGGTGGGGTGAAGGGACCGGCCAGGGCTGCGCTGCCCTCCCTGGGTTTGCCGCTCACAGCGTGGGTCCCTCTAGGGAACACAGAGTCCCAGGTCCCTCCCAGCCCTGCCGGGCGCTGTGTGTGTGGGCGAGGTCTTCCGTGGGTCACTTCCGTGGTCACTTCGCTGGAGAGTGTCGGCTGCAGGAGGGGGCTACTCAGAGTCCTTGCTCCTTTTCTTTCTTTCTTTCTTTCTTTCTTTCTTTCTTTCTTTCTTTCTTTCTTTCTTTCTTTCTTTCTTTCTTTCTTTCCTTCCTTCCTTCCTTCTTCTTTCTTTCTTTCTTTCTTTCTCTTTTTTAAGATTTATTTGAAAGGCAGAGTGACAGAGAAAGAGAGAGAGTTTGTTCTTCCATCTGCTGATTCACTCCCCAAAATGGCCGCAATGGCTAGGGCTGGGCCAGGCTGAAGCCAGGATCCAAGAGCGCCATCCGAGTCTCCCACTTGGGTGCAGAGGCCGAAGCACTTGACCGTCCTCTGCTGCCTTCCCAGGTGCATTAGCAGGGAGCTGGACCAGAAGTGGGGCAGGGGCTGGCGCTGTGGCGTAGCGGGTAAAGGCTCGCCTTGCGGTGCCGGCATCCCGTATGGGCGCCGGTTCTAGTCTCGGCTGCTCCACTTCCCATCTAGCTCTCTGCTATGTCCTGGGAAAGCAGTGGAAGATGGCCCAAGCGCTTGGGCCCCTGCACCCACGTGGGAGACCGGGAAGAAGCTCCTGGCTCCTGGCCTCAGATCGGCCCAGCCGTTGCGGCCTCTGGGGAGTGAACCAGGGGATGGAAAGCCTCTCTCTCTGTCTGTAACTCTACCTCTCAAGTAAATAAATAAATATTAAAAAAAAAAAAAAGTGGAGCAGCGGGACTTGAGCCAGTGCCCATATGGGATGCCGGCATTGGAGGCTGCGGCTTTAACCGCTACGCCACAGCACCGGCCCCTTGTCCTCTGCTTTAGTTCGTTTTCTTGTTGCAGAACGAAGTGTGGGGCCGGCGCTGGCGGCCGCTGGTGCCTGAGCCCTGCCTGTCGCGGCCTTGGTGCAGGGATGGGGGTGCGGTCGCGCCAAGTGCCGCACGGGCACGGGGAGAGCGTGGTGGCCGAGCCGCACACTGATGGAGCTCTCGTTCCATTCAGAGTAAGAAGAAAAGGAAGAAGAATCAGGGCAGTGCTGCTTCCTCAGCGCCGGGCCCCTCGCCCCTGCCTGCCCCCGGCCCCTCCAGTCTGGTGCCCCAGGACACAGCCCGGCCCCAGCCGCCGCTGCAGGGCACAGGCCCCGAGGAGCCGGCCCCGGGGGACAGCCGTCCCAGACCCCAGGACCTGTGCGAAGGGGCGGGCCTGGACCCCGGCCATCCCCTCGGGGGCAGAGGCCTCTCCGGGGCGGGGCCCAGCCAGGCTGCTGCCACTGCTGCCCAGGAGCTCCTTCCGGCAGAGTCGCCGCGGGACGACGCTGAGCCCGGGCAAGGACCCAGGAGCGAGCCGCAGCCAGCCAGGCGGCCGGAGCGGGCCCCCGCCTCCGGGGTGAGTCACCGGGCGGAGGTGGCCAGGGATGGCAGGGTGCCCCCGCCCCTCTGCTGTGTCATGCAGCTCCCACGTCCCTTCCTTGTCCCAGAGGGGTCCTCAGGGGCCTGCTCCCTGGGAGGGGGCCAGGGAAGGGGCGCCCACACCCAGGCCTGTGGCTGCCCCCTTCCATCTTGGCTCCTGGGCTCTTTGCTTATTTTAGAAGGTTATTTGAGGCCGGCGCCGCGGCTCACTAGGCTAATCCTCCACTTAGCGGCGCCGGCACACCGGGTTCTAGTCCTGGTCGGGGCGCCGGATTCTGTCCCGGTTGCCCCTCTTCCAGGCCAGCTCTCTGCTGTGGCCCGGGAGTGCAGTGGAGGATGGCCCAGGTGCTTGGGCCCTGCACCCCATGGGAGACCAGGAGAAGCACCTGGCTCCTGGCTTCGGACCAGCGCGGTGTGCGGGCCACAGTGTGCCAGCCGTGGCGGCCATTGGAGGGTGAACCAATGGCAAACGGAAGACCTTTCTCTCTCTCTCTCTCACTATCCACTCTGCCTGTCAAAAAAAAAAAAAAAAAAAGGTTATTTGAAAGGCAGAGCGCGAGCGAGCGCGAGCGAGAGCGAGCGAGGTCCTCCATTGCTGATCGGCTCCCCGATGTCCACTACAGCCGGGGCTGGGCCGGGCTGCAGCCAGGAGTCAGGGACTCCATCCGAGTCTCCCACGTGGGTGCCGGGGCCTGAGCACTGGGCCGTCTGCCGCTGCTTCCCCAGGTGGGTCGGAAGTGGGGCAGCCGGGACTTGAACCGGCACTCACATGGGATGCTGGCAGCTTAACCAGCTCCCTTCTTAAAGATTTCTAATTTTTCATTAGAATTTTAATTTAATGTATTTGAAAGAGAGAAGGAGGTCTGCCTTCCACTGGTTCAGTCCCCAAAAGTGCACACCAGCTGAGGCAGGGCTGGGCCAGGAGGACACCGGGGCCCGGGGCTCCATCCCAGTCTCCCAGGACTTGAGCCCTGAGGGTGAATGTCAGCAGGCAGCTGGCCCAGGACCCCGGCGGGGACAGAACCCAGGCACCCTGGGCGGGTGTGGGCGTCTCAACTGCAGAACCACGTGCCCACCCTGGCGCTGGGTTCTTTCTTCATGAAGATTCATTTATTTGAAAGGCAGAGTTAGGGATTCTAGGAGAGAGAGAGAGAGAGGTCTTCCATCTGCTGGCTCACTCCCCAAGTGGCCGCAACGGCCAGGACTGGGCCAGGCCAAAGCCAGAAGTCAGGTGCTTCTTCCAGGTCTCTCACGTGGGTGCTGGGGCCCAAGCCCTTGGGCCATCTTCCACAGCTTTTCCCAGGCCATAGCAGGGAGCGGATTTGGACGTGGAGCAGCCAGGACTCGAACCGGCGCCCATAGGGGCTGCTGGAGCTGCAGGTCGCGGCTTTAACCCATGGAGCCACAGCGCCGGCCCTGAGCCCTCTCTCTTGCAGGCTGTTGAGGCTAGAGCTCAGCCAGCTGCCGGCGCTGGCGAGGAAGTGAACGGCAAGGCCCAGAAAACCAAGCCGCCGCCAGCGAGTGCCCCCGCTTCCCAGAAACAGGGCCAGGTAGGGCAGCTGCTCCCGGCCAGGCCGGGCCTCCTGGGGGGCCTCCTGGCTGCTGCTGTCTGTTCCTCTCCCGAGCCTCCACCCTTGCAGAGGGAGAAGGGAGCCGGCCGGGCAGGGCGAGTGCCGGGAGCCAAGCAGAGCCCCGGGGAGACGCCGTGGGGGCAGAGGCGGGGAGTGGGAGGGTGGGCGGCCCGAGGATGACTTGTGCAAAGGCCCTGTGGTGGAGTGTGGTGGGCGGGAGAGGGGCTGGAGGCCTGGGAAGGTTCCTGCAGGGGGAGTGGAGGAGCGGAGGGCAGGCCTTAGGCTCGGCGTTGGTTCCCGGCTCCAGGAAGCTGAAGCCCAGGACGCCACAGCTGTGACCGGAGACAAAACGCAGAAAAACAAGCCGGCAAAGCTGGAGGCCCCGAAGAGGCCGGAAGGAAGCAGCAGAAATTGTGCGGCTGCTCTGAGGAGCGAGAGGAGCCAGGAGGGGGGTGCCCGGGAGGCCCCGGAGAGGTGGGTGTGGCCGGCCGGGGCGGGCGGGGCCGGGGCCGGGGCCGGGCGCGGGGCGGCGCGGGCGGGGCATCTGTAGCCCTTTCCTGATGGTGCCTGGGATGCAGCTGCAGAGCGGGGCGCGCTGCGGCACAGCAGGTAAAGCTGCACATATGAAGCCGCCATCCCACGTGGGCGCCGGTTCGAGTCCCAGCTGCTCCACTTCCCGTCTCCAGCTCCCTGCCATGGCCTGGGAAAGCAGTGGAATTTGGCCCATTCACCCTTGGGCCCCTGCACCCACGTGGGAGACCCGGATGGAGTTCCGGGCTCCTGGCTTCGGCCTGGCCCAGCCCCGGCTGTAGTGGCCATTTGGGGAGTGAACCAGTGGGTGGAAGACCTCTCTCTCTCTGCCTATTAAATAAATAAATAGACGAGTAAATCTTTTTAAGGGAAGACAAGCGGGGCATGTGTGTGCACACATGGGCGTGTGCATGCGTGGACGCGTGTGTGTGCGTGTGCACAGGTTGTGGGCGGGACTGGACATGACCGGGTCTCCGTCTTGGCCTCCCTGCAGCGGGCTGAGCCCCGGCGAGGGAGTCACGGTGTACTTCCACGCTATCCTCTCTAAAAACTTCGACTTTGACCCCAGCCACCACAAAGTGTTCATCAGGGGAGGAGAGGAGCTGGGAAAGACCAAGTGGACGGATGTGTGCGAGATGAACTACACCAGGTGAGCACATGCAGGGCCCCACGCACACAGCACGTGTGCACAAGGAGGGCCCCGCGCACACAGCACACATGCACTTGGAGGGCCCCGCACACACAGCACACGTGCACACGGAGGGCCCCGCACACACAGCACACGTGCACACGGAGGGCCCCGCACACACAGCACATGTGAATACAGAGGGCCCCGTGCACACGGCACCTAAGTGAGCACATGGAGGGCCCCACGCACACAGCACACGTGCACACGGAGGGCCCCGCGCACACGGCACCTAAGTGAGCACACGGAGGGCCCCGCACACACAGCACACGTGCACATGGAGGGACCCGCACACACAGCACACGTGCACACGGAGGGCCCTGCGCACACAGCACATGTGCACACGGAGGGCCCCGCGCACACAGCACACGTGCACACGGAGGGCCCCGCACACACAGCACACGTGCACATGGAGGGACCCGCACACACAGCACACGTGCACACGGAGGGCCCTGCGCACACAGCACATGTGCACACGGAGGGCCCCGCGCACACAGCACACGTGCACACGGAGGGACCCGCACACACAGCACACGTGCACACATGGAGGGCCCCGCACACACAGCACACGTGCACACATGGAGGGCCCTGCGCACACAACACGTGTGCACACGGAGGGCCCCACGCACATGGCTCCCCAGGAGTACATGGAGAGCCCAGTGCACACGGCTCCCCGGTCAGTACACGGAGGGCCCTGTGCACACAGCACACATGCACTTGGAGGGCCCCGCACACACAGCACATGTGAATACAGAGGGCCCCGCGCACACGGCTCCCCAGGTCAGTACACGGAGGGACCCACGCACACAGCTCCCCAGTCAGTACATGGAGGGCCCCGCACACACAGCACACGTGCACACATGGAGGGCCCTGCGCACACAGCACGTGTGCACACGGAGGGCCCCGTGCACACAGCTCCCCAGTCAGTACACGGAGGGCCCCACGCACACGGCTCCCCAGGAGTACATGGAGAGCCCAGTGCACACAGCTCCCCGGTCAGTACACGGAGGGCCCCGTGCACACAGCAGCCCATCACGGAAACCTGTGGATGACCTCATGCTCGCTCAGTAAGGTGCCCAGCTCGGGGCAGTATCCCCTCGGGCCCGTCTGGGACCCGTGTCTTGTTTTGGAAGCACTGCTCCGGTTGGCTTTGGTTGCTAGCGCTGGGTCTGCGCCCGGTGCTGTGGCAGCGTGAGGAACTCAGGCTTCCGGGCTGGGGTCGGGGGGTGACCGGCTGGCATCCTGTGTTTGCAGGGACTTGCACGAGAACGGGTCCCTCATCGAAGGCAGCTTGGTCATCTCCAGGCAGCACCTGAACACGGCCATCCCCTACAAGTACGTCGTCCACCGCGGCAAAGACTCCGCGGAATACGAGTTCATCTACAAGCAGCAGCAGAGGTGGGGCGAGCACGTGAACCGCTGCCTGTGCGTGAAGTCCGCCCTCGTGGGCTCGGGAGGTGAGCCGGGGCCGTGGGGACGACCCTGCCCGAGGTTCCCCCACGGACAGACGGACGGACGGCCCGGGGAGAGCCGACACCTGCGCCCGCCCCGCTGGGGCTGTCGGGAGCGCCAGGGCCCTCTGCGGTTCTCCTGGCCGTTCCTGGGCCCTCTGTCCCCAGCCCTGGTGTCTGCCTGCGCCCCTCGTGCCGCCCTCAGCTCCCCTCTGTGCCTGGACACGCGCCGTTGGTCGGGGGAGCCGGGCATCGTGGGCTGGCTTTCCTCTTCTCTGTGCATCTGTGTCCTCGGGAGTCCGTGTCTCCAGGGTCTTGTTTGTCGTGTCTGCGTCCTGAGCGTTGGTTAGCGGGCACAGAAGGGCAGAGGCCTCGCCCCGTGAGTCCCCGGGCCCAGAGCCGCCCCGGTGACTCTGTCCAGCTTCCGCGATTTGGTGCGTTTCTGAGCGCTGTTTCTGTCCTGGGTGGTGGACTGAGAAGCCAGCTCCCCGGCCAGGGTGGGAGGCTGCCCAGGGTGGCCCAGAGAGAGCTGTGGCTTCTGTGGCACTGGAGATGGCCCCATTGAAAGAGCAGGAGGCCGGGGGCTGACCCGGGGCCTGGGCAGGTGTCACCGAGGAGGCGGCCCCCAGGCGGGGCGGGGCGGAGCTGGGCAGCCGGCCACTGCGCCCTCCGCCTGTCCTCTCTCTGCTTCTGTCTGCCTGTGTCCCCGTGGCCTCTGACCGTGGCGTTGCTCTCGTCCGTCTCCCGTCTTCTGGGGAGTGCCCCGTGCTCTCGGCCCTTCCCGCCCACACTGCTGTTATTTGCCGCTTGTGCCCGGAGCCAGGGGTTCAGCCCTTGTCCCGAGCAGGCGGCTGTGCCGGGGGCTCCGTGTGCGGCCGCCGGGACTGGGCATCCTTTGTGGGGTGGAGGAATGGGCGCACGTGCCACCTGGCGAGCTCACGTTTTAAGGGACGTCTTTGCTGGGCCTGCCTGCCGGTCACACAGAGATTCCGTGGCCGTGGACTCTTTGCCTGCCTGTCCCCCTCCAGGGGTCAGACCCCCAGTAGCCGGGGGGAGCGAGTCCAGCGGCCCTGAGTCTCCCGCCCCTCCCTTCCCGGCCGCTGTCTCTGTGTCTCTGCCTCGCGCCGGGCCCTGGGCGTCCCGCCTACAGCCTGGCTCTGGCGTCCCCCAGACTGGCACCAGTACGACGACATCATCCGCATGAGGCCGCCCGGGAAGATTCGGAAGTTGCTGGATAAATTCACGGACAACACGCGGAAGGACCTGGTGCGCGGGAAGCAGCTGGCGGCCGGCGTCATGCTGGACAGCATCTTCAGCGTCCTGCAGCCCTGGAGCCCCGTCAACCTCGGCAGCTTCTTCACGCAGCTGCAGCAGTTTTACGCCGTCGTCCGCGTGCCCATGGTGTACGAGGGCCAAGCCCAGCCCTGGAGGTCACTGCAGTACGAGGAGGCGCAGGTACCGGCGGGGAAGAGCGCCCGTCTGCTGCGCCAGGCCAAAGCCAGGAGCCAGGAGTCCGTCCTGGTCTCCCACGGCGGTGCAGGGGTCCAGGCGCTCGGGCCGTCTTCTGCTGCCTCTCCAGGTGCATTTGCAGGGAGCTGGATCTGAAGTGGAGCAGCCGGGACTCGAGCCAGCGCCCATATGGGATGCGGGCGTCATAAGCAGTGGCTAAACCCACCACGGGGCAGCGCCGGGCCCCAGGCTTCACTCCAGCCGCCAGCAGCCCCACCTGCCGGGCGGGCAGCCTCCCCCACCTGCCGGGCGGGCAGCCTCTCCCACCTGCCGGGCGGGCAGCCTCCCCCACCTGCTGGGCGGGCAGCCTCTCCCACCTGCCGGGAGGGCAGCCTCCCCCACCTGCTGGTGGTCACGTGAACCCTGACTTCCTGGCCAGTCAGTCCGTCCTGCCCGGGAGCACTTGTCAGCCTGTGCCCTTCTTCCTTGTCCCCGCGAGTCCTGCCCAGTACTGGTTCCCCCGGGCCTTGGGCAGAGTGGACATGAGGGGTAGAGGCCCCCTTACTGCCCCTCAGCCCCAGCGCAGTGCGGCCTGGCCCAGGCAGTTTTAGGCAGACTTGGAGCCACCTTGGAGGTGATGGTACAACTGCTCCTGCCGCCCTGCTGCCTGGCTCTCCGGGAGCCGAGGGGAGGAGCTGGGGGAGGCAGAGCCGTGCTCTGCGCGGGGTCCGGCTGCGGGCGGCCCCGTGACGCCCGCGTCTTCCTCCTGGGCCCAGGTGAAGGAGGACCTGTGGCAGTATCTGAAGAAGCAGATGGCACCGTTCCTGGAGGGAAAAGGCGGCGAGCACGCGCCCGGCGACGGCCCGGTGAGCAGCAAGCTGAGGATGGGCCTGATCATCCTTTTCTCGGTGGAGAAGTTTGACCTGTGCCTCCCACCGAGTGACCTGGGCCTGCTCTGCCGCCTGCTCGTGCCGGGTGCCCGCAGCGCCGACGCCCTCCATCACGACCTCAGTCACTTCCCCGGAACCTTGCACAGGTACGTCGGTGCTGCCGTGCGCGGCTGCCTCGCTGACCTGCCTTTGCCTACAAGAGCAGGTGCCAGCCCTGGAGTGGCCGGGCACGCCAGGGTCCCCCCGCGGGGTGGCCAGCGCCCTTCCTCTGCCGTGTTTGTGCCTGAAGCCATTCGCACTATCGGCCGCCCTGCCTCTGGGAAGCCCCGCGGTGCACAGGGTCTGGGGACTTCCTGGGAGCAGCCCAGATGTTCGCCCACGGCACTGCCCGTGCCCTGTGCTTGCAGAGCATGATTGTCACCGGCCTGGAAGGGTCGGAGGTGACAAGGCCAGGGCCTGTGCCAGGGAGGCTGCCTGGGGGCCTCCCTGAGCCCGCCTCTTTCCAGTCTGGTCTGCAGCTCTGATTGGTGGAACCTGAGAGTGACATTCGGGGCCTCCATGAGCGGCAGCTCTTGCTGGGACATCTGGTTTCAGGGGTTTTAACACTGGGGGTGGGGAGCGCCAGCGAGGAGGCGCGCGGGGTTAGCGTGTGCCCCCGGGCCATGTGCGGAGTGAGCGCACGTGTTTGGAAGGACGAGGACGCCCGGGCTCTGCAGGCTGCCCCGGCCTTGGCACTGCCCGGTGCTCAGATCGGCAGTGGCCTGGCGGCCTGGGCCCAGCCTCGCCCTGCAGCACAGCCCTCGGCTCTCTGCTCTCCCTGGGGGGCGGGGGAAGCAGCTCTGCAGCGTTTGCGGTGGGGATTGCCCGGTGTCCAGGGTCCCACTGGAGCACCCCAGCCCGCAGCCATGCGGTGCTCACCTCCCCGCGGGGCGGGCCCCACACGGCCGACGTCGGCTCACCGCGGCGTCCCCCGTGCCTGCAGCTGGCGAATGTTCTTGGTGAACCTGTGTCAGAGGTGCATGGAGAGCAAGGTGGACTCCTGGCTGGCCGTGCTGCCCGTCCTGCACTACTTCATGGAGCTGTCGCCGCCCAGCAGGGACGTGGCCAGCCAGCCCGAGGACAGCTGGGCGGCCCTCCAGGGCATCTCCTTCTGTCCGTTCCGGGAGAAGACGCCAGAGCCGTAAGTGGCCGAGTGGGGCCGGATCCTTCCCCTCAGGGTGCCCCCGCACCGGGGGGCCCGCGGCTGACGACAGCGCCTCGCGCTCTGTGCGCCTGGGACGGTCAGGCTGCGTGGGCTTAGAGAGCCAGCTCCGCGGAGCCTTGTTTGTCCTGCACTGACCAGTGCCCCGGGAACAGCTTTGCCTGCCCGGCTGGAGCAGGGCTGCCCGTGTCCGCCTAAGGCGTGAAGGTCGGCGACTCCTCAGCCGGCCGCTTGTTCCTGGGCACCTGGGCACCGTCCCGCTGGGGAGCTCCGCCCGTGCAGCTGTCGCCTTGAGATGAATTCCTGAGGGCGGAAGTGCTGTGACAGGCTCTGTGTGCGCCTCGCCCGGTGTGGGCTCCGGGCAGCGCAGTGGGCGGGGGACAGACCCTGACCTCGGCCACACAGCAGGGCCTCCCCTGCGTCACAGGAGAGTGATCGCACACACAGAGCCACACCACGGGCTGGGGTGGGGGATGGTCCTACTAAATACTGAGTTCATTTCGTTACAGTTACAGAGGTCATCCCAGGGCCCGCGGCACCGGGTTGAGCCGCTGCCTGCATCCCCTGTGAGCTCCGGTTCCAGTTCTGGCTGCTCCGCTTCCTGCCCGGCTGCCTGACAACAAACTGGCAAGGTGGTGGAAGACGGGCCGAGCGCTTGAGCCCCTGACTCCCACATGGGGGACCCGGATGGAGGTTCAGGCTCCCGGCTTCGGCCTGGCCCAGCCCTGGCCGGTGTGGCCGTTTGGGGAGTAAAACAGTGGATGGCAGATTCCCTCTGTTTCTTACTCTCTCTATTTGTCTCTCTGCCTTCTAAATAAATAGATAAAATTTTAAATGTCAGAGTAAGAAAAAATTAAGTATATGACCTTATAATGTGATTTTATAGTTTAAACAAGGTTGTGCTTTATATTTTTAAAAGATTTATTTACCTATTCGAAAGGCAGAGAGAGGTCTTCCCTCTGCTGGTTCACTCCCCAGTTGGCCGCAATGGCAGGAGCTGTGCTGATCTGAAGCCAGGAGCCAGGAGCTTCTTCCGGGTCTCCCACGTGGGCGCAGGGGCCCAAGCACCTGGGCCACCTTCCACTGCCTTCCCAGGTGCTTTAGCAAGGAACTGGATGGGAAGTGGAGCAGCCGGGACTTGAACCAGCGCTCACGTGTGATGTGGTGCTGCAGGCGGCCCCACTGGAGTTCTGTGTTCTCGTGTGCCCCTGGTTGTCAGTCCTGGTTCAGGTCTGTTTCCTCTGCACAGGAACCAGCTGCTTCAGGTCATGGAACGGAACCAGCACTTGCTGGGCCTGGATCAGTATCTCTTCCGCTCCTGGTTTAGTTTGCTTCCTCTGGGGCAGCTGGTGCACTACATGGAGAACTTCGCCGAGCACCTGACTGGCTGTCCTGCCCGGGTCCTGGACTGTTTCCTGGGGACTGCCTACCGGCTGCAGGAACATTCCTGGGTCGGGTACCTGAACACAAAGGTGCGTGGTCTGCACTGGGCCCTCGGGCTGCGGCAGGGGGCGGCCTGGCCTGGGGCGGCCCTTGCTCCTTGGAGCTAGGAGTGGATTTGAGTTGGGTCGTCTTCCACTGCTTTCCCAGGCCATAGCAGAGAGCTGGATTGGAAGTGGAGCAGCCGGGACTTGAAGTGGCGCCCATATGGGATGCTGGCGCCGCCAGCAGCCACTTAACCCGCTATGCCACAGCGCCGGCATAGTTAAACACAATTTATTTATTTATTTGGAGGGCAGAGTGACAGAGAGAGAGGAAGAGAGAAAGACCTTCCACCCACTGGTTCACTCCCCAAATGGGCGCCACAGCCGGAGTGGGGCCAGGCTGAAGCCAGGAGCTTCCTCCAGGTCTCCCATGTGGGTGCGGGGATCCAAGCCCGTGGGCCACCTGCTGCTCTCCCAGGCCTTTCGCGGGAGCTCCATGGGAAGCAGAGGAGCCGGACTCCAGCCCGTGGGTGGTTTACTTCATTCTGTTCTCAGCAGACATCGACGTCTTACTTCCGCCCCTCCCTGCCGCAGGCTATCAAGAAGGTCTTCCAGATGCTGCTGCACCTGCTGGACATCTGTCAGACCGCGTGAGTAAAGAGCGAAGGGCGTGGTCCCACCGTGGGCTTGCGAGTGTCACTGCTCGTCCCTTTGATTGACAGTGTCATGCTACTGTTGTCCCGGGAGAGCCATTGTCCATCACAGTGTATTCTGTTTCTCCTTGTGGGTCAGTCTTGTAGCCATCAATTAGTTGAAAGGTTTGTTGATTTGAAATGCAGAGTGACTGACGGAGAGAGAGAGAGATCTGTCCAGTTCACTCCCCAGGTGGCCGCAACAGGCAGGGCTGGAGCCGGCTCTCCCACGTGGCCGTCTGCCCTGCCTCCTAGTGGCAGGAGGCTGGGTTGGACGCAGAGTAGCCGGGACTGAGACCGGGCCTCCCAAGGGGTGCTCCGCGCCCTCTGCCCCGCCAGCCCTGGCATCTTCAGTTTTCGAACCACAGACACCCGCTGCTGGGACCTGGGTCGTTTCCACCCGGCCTTCGTCCCGCGCGTCCTCCCGTGTCTGTGTCTTCACCCCTTGAACGTTGAGTCCTTGGGTGACCCGGAAGTCGGGTCGGCTTCGAGTCATGCATAAGGTGACTGCACCATCCCCTGCAGTGGTTTGCTCCCGGGCGTCTGTGGGACGTCGTCTCCCTGTGGGACGGGGCGCCGAGAGTGAGTGGAAGTGCAAGGGGGCTGTGGGTGCCTGCCGAGATGCACTGGTTCGCTCCCCAAATTCCTGCAACAGCCAGGGCCCAGCCCCGCTGACGCCGAGTCTGGAACTCAGCCTGGGTCTGCGCGTGGGTGGCAGGGACCCGGGTACTTGAGCTGTCACCGGCTGCCTCCCGGGCGCTAAACACGAGCAGTGGGGACTCGAACCCAGGTACTCAGATACGAGAAGTGGGCGTCCCACGCGGAGACCGGACGCCCGTGCTGGACGCCTGCCCACTGACGGGGCAGAGCCCGAGGACTTGCTTCCTTGTCACCCTGGTCGTGGGTTTGACCACAGGGCTCGAGAGAACGCTGTAGTCGTCGGCATTTTCCAGGGAGGGGTCTGGTCCGGGGGGCTCGGGGCCGCTGCCCGTGTCCTCGGCGGCGTGGACACGCTCTCCTCGCTCTGGGGCAGGATCGTCCAGGAGGACTTGCTGCAGGCCTGCCGGGCGGTGTGCTTGAGACTCCATGAGCTCGCCTGCGGCATCACCAAGAGCGAGAAGTTCTACAAGATCCCTGCCTTGTCTGCGGAGGCCGTGTGCAAACTGCTCGTCCTGCAGCCCGCCGCGGTGAGTGGGGGTGACTGCGACGCGCCCTGCCGGGCGGGCTCCCCACTCGCTCCCCGGGGGCTGGAACGCCACGTGCACCCTGCCGGGCGGGCTCCCCACTCGCTCCCTGAGGGCTGGAATGCCACGTGCACCCTGCCGGGCAGGCTCCCCACTCGCTCCCTGGGGGCTGGAACGCCACGTGCACCCTGCCCGGGCGGGCTCCCCACTTGCTCCCTGAGGGCTGGAATGCCACGTGCACCCTGCCGGGCGGGCTCCCCACTCGCTCCCCGGGGGCTGGAACGCCACGTGCACCCTGCCGGGCGGGCTCCCCACTCGCTCCCCGGGGGCTGGAATGCCACGTGGACCCTGCCGGGTGGGCTCCCCACTCGCTCCCCGGGGGCTGGAATGCCATGTGCACCCTGCCGGGCGGGCTCCCCACTCGCTCCCCGGGGGCTGGAATCCGACACGGTGGCTGATTTAGATCTCAGATACTTAGTGGACACCTAAGAGCAGGGTCTGTGCCCTGGGTCTCCTGGGACTTAGCTGGGAGGCAGGGATTCACTCGGCTCTACAGCCACAGGGAAACCACGGGGCCTCGAGGCCAGGCAAGGACTCTCCCACGATAACCGTCCTTGTTCCCTGATTCCATATTTCACAGGGGACAGGGACCATTTCTCTCTCTAAATAACCCACACGTCCAAGCCCGGCCGTCCCCACCGAGGTACAGCAAGCAAGGGCCACAGGTGCAGGTGCAGGGCTGTGGGCCTGTCTCCCTGTGTGCACTCTCGGGCCCTGGGCTGATCCCAGCTCCCCTGCACCCCTTCGTCGTCCCGACTTCTGTGCCTGCAGTCAGCCTCGCCCGTCTCTGAGCACTTCCTGTCCTGGCTGTCACTCAGGCCCGCACGTCACTGGTGCTGCTTCATTTCCCGGCAGCATTGGTCCTCTTGGGTTTGTGCGCCTCAGCCTAGAGTGATGTAAGGCCTTGTAGTCCCACTGTCCACGTCTTCTTGCTAATGCTTGTTTATGTTCCTCAACTTGGAAGGCAGAGAGAGTAAGAGAGAGGGAGGGAGAGAGAGGGAGATGAAGGTTCTCGGTCACCCCTCTCTGTCCACCTCTGCTGGCTGCTGGGGAGTTGTGTGTGTCTGGGCGACAGTTCAAGACCGAAGGTGGCCCTGGGTGATCACAAGGGACACTTCTGGATTGTTCTAGAAGGTGCCGTGCAAGGGCCAGCATGTTCCATTCCCAGTTGGGAGCCACCGGGCCACCTGGGGAGGGGCAGGCCAGGCCGCCGCTGGGGCCCTGCCTGGAGGAGGCACAGCTACTCCACTGGGCCTCTGGCCGCCCAGGCAGAGAGTGCTCGGCTCTCAGCCTTTCACGGAAGCTGCTGTGGCTGATCCTTCCCCCCACTGTCTGGCTGGGTCCAGAACTTTCTGGGGAAATCAGAGAGCCTGTCCAAGGTGGGCTTCACATGAGGGCTGTGTGTGGCATCTGCAGGGGGCACTGGGGACAAGTGACGCATGGTGGTGTCCAAAAGCCCAAGTGAGCCCCCCCGTTCTTGCAGGACTCCGTGGGGGGGCCTGGGGCGGCAGCCGGGAGGAGCTCGGGCACGGCCGCCTTCCAGGGGACGCTGGCCGCCACGAGGGCCTGGCTCCAGGGGGTCTTCCAGGAGAACATGCTCAAGAACTCGCATTTCTCTGCCGTCCGGTTCACCTACCCCGACGAGATCCAGGTGACTGCTGGGAGCGGGACACTGCTCAGGGCTCCCGGGGAGGGGTGTGCCGCGGCTGAGCTTCCGTGTGACCGCGTCCTGAGGCCTGTGGGCACTGTGCTCCCTCTGTGGAATGAGGACTGGCCGTTCCCCCAGCAGGGCCGCTCCTGGGGCACGGGAGACAGCAAGCAGGTGGGAGGAGCCGCCGCACCTCTTGCCTGGCATGCGGCCAGCAGGATCTCAGTAGTGGTGGTGGTAGTGATGGTGGTGTTGGTGTTGTGTTGGTGATGGTGGTGACTGTGGTATCGGTGTTGGTGATGGTCGTGGTGGGGGTGGTGATGGTCGTGGTAGTGGTAGTGTTTTTGGTGGTTGTGATGGTGTTGGTAGAGAGGTGATGGTGATCATGGTGTTGTTGATTGTGTTGGTGTTGACAGTATCATTGGTGGTGGTGTTGGTGGTGTGGTGATGTTGATGGTAGTTATGATGGTGGTTGTGATGGTGGCAATGATAGAGATGATGGTGATGGTGGTCATGGTGGTGTTGATGTTGGTGGTGGTTGTGGTGGTGATGGTGTTTGGTAATGGCGGAGGTACAGGTGACAGTGTGATGATGGTGGTGGTGATAGTGTTGGTTGTGATGGTGTTGGTGGTAGAGATGGTGGTGGTGGTGATGGTGGTGTTGGTGGTGTTGATGGTGATGGTGTTGGTAGTTATGGTGTTGGTGGTAGAGGTGGTGTTGGTGGTGGTGATAGTGATGGTGTTGGTGGTTGTGATGGTGTTGGTAGTAGAGATGATGGTGATGATGGTGTTGGTGTTGATGGTATCAGTGTTGGTGGTGATGGTGATGGTGGTGGTGGTTGTGATGTGGTGGTGGTAGAGGTGATGGTGATGTTGGTATTGATGGTGTTTGTGGTGTTGATGGTGTTGATGGTGTTGGTTGTGGTGTTGATGGCATTGGTGGTGTTGATGGTGATGGTGTTGGTAGTTATGGTGTTGGTGGTAGAGGTGATGGTGGTGTTGGTGGTGTTGGTGGTGATGGTGTTGGTGGTAGAGGTGATGGTGATGTTGGTGGTGATGGTGATAGTGCAGTGGTAGTGATGCTGTTTGTGGTAATGGTGGTGGTACAGGTGATGGTGTGATGGTGGAGTGGTGGTGATGATAGTGATGGTGTTGGTGGTTGTGATGGTGTTGGTGGTAGAGGTGATGGTGATGACGGTGTTGGTGTTGATGGTATCAGTGTTGTTGATGGTCATGGTGGTGGTGATGGTGATGTTGGTATTGATGGTGATGGTGTTGGTAGTTATGGTGTTGGTGGTAGAGGTGATGGTGGTGTTGGTGGTGATGATAGTGATGGTGTTGGTGGTTGTGATGGTGTTGGTAGTAGAGATGATGGTGATGATGGTGTTGGTGCTGATGGTATCAGTGTTGTTGATGGTGGTGATGGTGATGGTGGTGGTGGTTGTGATGGTGGTGGTGGTAGAGGTGATGGTGATGTTGGTATTGATGGTGTTTGTGGTGGTGTTGATGATGTTGGTTGTGGTGCTGATGGTGTTGGTGTTGTGGTAGTGATGGCACAAACAGGTCTTGTGGGCTCCTGTAAAAGGCTCCATCTGAGGGCAGCTAAGCGGTTGGGTGGGGCAGCCGGGGAAGGTACGGAAACTGCCTCTTCCTGTGGAACCTGACGGGTTCTTGCCAAAGACATTTCGGTGGGACTCAGATCCTGGGGAGAGGGGAAGACAGAGCTGCTGGGGAGACAGTCTACCACGGGGGCGGCTGGGCTTTCACCAGTCCTCACCATCATCAGAGGAAAAGGCCTCCGGAAGTGGGAGGCGACAGCAGAGTCCCTGGGCTGGGCCCGGATGGGAGAGGTGGGGTCGTCGGGGCAGCCCCACGGGGCGTCCTGGCCAAGCAGGGAGCCGCTCGTTTACAGAGGGGGGAGACAGGGCTCCAGGGGGACGCGTTTGGGTGTCCTTGCAATGTTTTTGTACGAACAGAACTCTGGAGTGCAACCCTTTCGATAAACGACAGTCATGGTGCAGGTGGCCAAGGTGGGGCCTGGCGCAGCGGGGCCTGGGGGTGGAGGCCGAGGTGGCCGCCGTGACTGCCGCCGGCACAGCCACGGGTGGTGGGCCCGGCGTCCTGAGTGCAGCACTCGCCGTGCCACCCCCGGGACCCGTCCTGGTGTCGGGGGCGGCTCTGGCCCGAGCTGCGTGGTGACTGTTGCCTTCCTGTGGGTTTTGTTTTGCAGGTCTGGAGGCGGCTGGTGGAAATAGGCTTCCCCGCGGAGCTGGGCTGGAAGGAGTCCCTGCTGGGAGACCTGGAGGGGAGGCTCAGACAGGTACCGGCGGCCGGGGCGCGGGCCTCAGAGCACCGACAACAGCCAACAGATAGGAGCGGCGCAGGGCCGGCCTCTTGTTGGCAGGGAGTAGAAGGAATCACAGCTTGGTGTTTCTTTCTTTTTTTAAAGATTTATTTATTTATTTATTTATTTATTCATTTAGAAGTCAGAGTTACAGAGAGAGAGGGAAGAGATGGAGAGAAACTGTCCATCCATTGGTTCACCCTCAAATGGCCACAACGGCCAAAGCTGAGCAGGTCCAAAGCCAGGAGCCAGGAGCTTCTTCTTTTTTTTTTTTTTTATTTTTTATTTTTTATTTATTTTTTTTTTTATTTTTGATAGGCAGAGTGGACAGTGAGAGAGAGAGACAGAGAGAGAAAGGTCTTCCTTTGCCGTTGGTTCACCCTCCAATGGCCGCCACTGCAGCCGGCGCACCGCGCTGATCCGATGGCAGGAGCCAGGAGCCAGGTGCTTCTCCTGGTCTCCCATGGGGTGCAGGGCCCAAGCACCTGGGCCATCCTCCACTGCACTCCCTGGCCACAGCAGAGAGCTGGCCTGGAAGAGGGGCAACCGGGACAGAATCCGGCGCCCCGACCGGGACTAGAACCCGGTGTGCCGGCGCCGCAAGGTGGAGGATTAGCCTATTGAGCCACGGCGCTGGCTACCAGGAGCTTCTTCTTGGTCTCCCACATGGGTGCAGGGCCCAAGCACTTGGGCATCTTCCACTGCCTTCCCAGGCCACAGCAGAGAGCTGCATTGGAAGTGGAACAGCCAGGACTCGAACTGGTGCCTGTGTGGAGTGCTGGTGCCACAGTGGCTTTACCTGCCTCGCCATGGCACTGGTCCCCCGCCTAGTATTTCTGTTTTAGATCCATCTTGGTTGTGTTTTTTGTTTGTTTGTTTGTTTGTTTTTTGGACAGGCAGAGTTAGACAGTGAGAGAGAGAGACAGAGAGAAAGGTCTTCCTTCCGTTGGTTCACCCCCCAAATGGCCACTACGGCCGGTGCTGCGCCCATCCAAAGCCAGGCGCTTCCTCCTGGTCTCCCATGGGGTGCAGGGCCCAAGCACCTGGGCCATCCTCCACTGCACTCCCTGGCCACAGCAGAAAGCTGGCCTGGAAGAGGGGCAACCGGGACAGAATCCGGCGCCCCGACCGGGACTAGAACCCGGTGTGCCGGCGCCGCAAGGCGGAGGATTAGCCTAGTGAGCCGCGGCGCCAGCCTTTTTTTTTTTTTTTTTTAATTTATTTGTTCAAAAGGTGGAGGGACACAGGAAGAGAGGTCTTCCATCTGCTGACTCACTCCCCAAACGGCCACAGCAGCCAGAGCTGGGCCGGGCTGAAGCCAGGAGCCTGGAGCTCCATCTGGGTCTCCCACGCGGGTGCAGGGCCCCAGCATGGGGCGTCTTCTGCTGCCTCCCAGGGGCATCAGCAGGGAGCTGGGGCGGAAGTGGAGCAGCCGGGACTCCAGCTGATGCTCTGACGTGGGATGCGGGTCCCGGGCGGCAGCCTAGCTGTGGCTGCTCAGCGCCCGCCCCCCGGTCCTTCCTGCGGAGTTTGACCCCAGAAGAATGGTTCATTGTTTTGTTGGGCTGTTGCAGAGTCTGGCCATCACAGAACCCCAGGAGTTCACGGGGTGAGCCCCCCCCATGCAGGAGCCCTGAGTGGCCTGCTGGGGACGCGAGTCTCACCCGACGCAGTGACCATGGAGAATCAAAAGCGTTCTTCCTTTTGAATTCAGACTGTGGGCCAATTCGTGTTCACTGGTCTGTGTGGCTGTTGCGTGGCTCTTTGTAGACTTTCAGGGGCGTGGAAAAAAGACCAGTTTCTCCGACTTTGCTGCTTTTGCCGGCGGCTCTTATTTCATTCTAACCGTGCCGGTCCGGTCTGGGTGTGGGGCCAGGGGACGGGTGGGTGTGGGCCAGGGAGATGTGGGCAGCCCCAGGAGCCCTCACTGCCCTCCGCGGTTGCAGGAGAGGCCGCTCGCCCAGATCTCCGCCTACTGCAGCACCCGCTGGGACACCGCAGGCCCCGAGGACAGCGTGGCCCAGAGCTTTGAGAAGTGCGTCATCGAAGCCGTGAGCTCAGCCTGCCAGGTAACCGACCAACCTCTCCTGGGAACACGCTGGGGCTCCCGTGGGTCAGCTCGGGGCTGCTAGTGAGGCCGCTGGGTCTGAGACCCTGCGTGGCGCGCGGCGTCGGGAGTGGGTGTCCGCTTCCTGCCCTGTAAGCTCTGCTCCTTCCCCACTCCTGAGCTGACCCCTCCTCCAGGTGGCCCCAAGGTCTCCTGTGCGTCACATGAGGTCATAGCCACACACGTGCTACCTTGGCCCAGTCTCGCTCTTTGCAGTTTTACTTATTTATTTAAATCTTTACTTTTTAAAAAAGTATTTATTTATATTTATTTGAAAGGCAGAGAGAGAGAGAGAGGTCTTCCATCCACTGGTCACTCCTCAAATGACTGCAATGGCCCGAGCTGGTCCAGACCGAAGTCAGGAGCCTGGAACTCTGTCTTCCATGTACTGGTTCACTCCCTAAATGGCCACGAGGCCAGAGCTGGGCCAATCTGAAGCCAGGAGCTTCTTCCAGGTCTCCCATGTGGGTGCAGGGCTCCAAGCACTGGCCCATTCTCTGCTGTTTTTCCCAGGCACATTAGCAGGGGGCTGGATCAGATGTGGAGCAGCTGAGACTTGAACCTGCGCCCATATGGGCTGCTGGCACCGCAGGCAGTACTTAACCCACGGTGCCACGGTGCTGGCCCCAGACTGTCCCCTGCATGCCTGCAACATGTGGGCCAGGGCTGGAGCCCAGGGCTGGGGATTCAGTCCACGCCTCCCTCTAGGGCGGCAGGGACCCGAGTCCTCACACTGCTGTCACTGCTTCCCGGGGTGTGCCTTCGAGGGGGCAGAGGGAAGGCTGGAGCCCGGGCACTCGACGCGGGTGGGGGCGCCCCGCTGCCTTCCCCTGACCCTCAGCTCGTGCGAGGCGCGCTCTCGCTCTCTCTCTCTCTCTCTCTCTCTCTCTCTCTCTTGTTAAGCGCTTTATTGCGGTATCGCTTGCGCACTGTGCAATCCACCCCTGGATGTAGCGTCCCGTGGTTCTGGGCACCTCCGCAGACCCGTACAGCCGCCTCCGCGTCACCCCAGAGCGCTGTCACAGCCTCCAAAGCGGCCCAGAGCCGCCAGCCTCTGCCGCTCCCGGCCCAGCCGCTGCCTCCCCGTGTCTGCGGGGCTCTGGGCGCTGTCACTGCAGGAGCTCCTGGGGCTGCGGCCTTTGTGTCTGCCGATTCCTCTTAGCCTGCGGGAGTGTGAGTGAGTGTGTAAGTGTGTGTGAGTGTGTAGTGGGTTAGTGTGAGAGTGTGTGAGTGTAGTGTGTGAGAGTGTAGTGTGTTAGTGTGAGTGTGTAAGAGTGTGTGAGTGTAGTGTGTGCGTGTAGTGAGTGTGTAAATGTGTGTGAGTGTGTAGTGTGTGAGTGTAGTGTGTGAGTGTGTGTAAGAGTGTGTGAGTGTAGTGTGTAAGTGTGTGTGTAAGCGTGTGGGTGTGTGAGCATATTGTGAATGTGTAAGTGTATGAGAATGTGTAAGTGATTGTGTGTGTGAATGTAAGAGTGTGTATGTATGTGAGAGCATGTGTGAATGTAAGTGTGAGTGTGTAAGTGTATGTGAGTGTGTGTGTATGTGTCAGACTGTGTGAGTGTGTGTGTGTACTCCCTCCTCGTGGACGAGTGTCCTCTGTCCGCTTGTCCACAGCCGGGTGAGTGTGTGTGAGTGTGTGTGTGTACTCCCTCCTCGTGGGCGAGTGTCCTCTGTCCGCTTGTCCACAGCCGGGTGAGTGTGTGAGTGTGTGTGAGTGTGTGTGTGTACTCCCTCCTCATGGACGAGTGTCCTCTGTCCGTCTGTCCACAGCCGGGTGAGTGAGTGTGAGTGTGTGTGTGTGTGTGTGTGTACTCCCTCCTCATGGACGAGTGTCCTCTGTCTGCTTGTCCACAGCCGGGTGAGTGAGTGTGAGTGTGTGTGTGTACTCCCTTCCTCCTCGTGGACGAGTGTCCTCTGTCCGCTTGTCCACAGCCGGGTGAGTGTGCGTTCGGCTGCTGGAGGCATTGCCGGGCCAGTCTCTGTAGCTTCAGGTCCTCTCTCCTGGGCTGTAACGGGTCCCGTGGGAGCTGCGTCAGGGGCTGACGAGTGGTCACGGGGATGGGCAGTGGCTGGCTGATGGCTCACGGTCCCCGCAGTGGGGGCTTCGCAGTGGGGGCTCCGCGTCTGTTTCCCAGCTCGGATTCTGGCGGTGCCAGTGGGCGTGGCTTTGACTTGCAGATCTCTGATGACCGCGGCTTCGGGCGTCTTCTGTGTCTTGCTTGCAGGAGTTCTGTGTTGCTCCTTCCCTGTGGGGGTCTCCGGGCAGCTACTCCATCTGCGTCTTCTCCCATCCTGGGGGCTCGCTTTTCACTGTGGGGGGGCGGTCAGGCCATTCATGGAGGGCTTGGGAGGGTCTCGAAGAAGCGCTGAGCAGGCGGGGCCCTCCCTGGCCTCCTCGCTCGAAAGCTGTGCTGGTTTCCTCTTCTGAAGCGCAGAGATGTTTGCTTTTGGTGAAGTCCAGTCCCTGTTGGGATCAGAGACTCCCTCGGCACACCCGGGCGTGGGGTTCACCCTCTCGCTCCCCTCTGAGGCCGTGGCAGGCTCAGCTCCCGGCCCCGGCCTGGGATCTGCCCGAGGCCCTTGCTGTGTTTGGGGTGTACCTGCCCGCGGGGCCCAGCTGTGCTGGCGCTGCTCCTGAGGGCAGCGTGCTGGCCCCCTTGGACGACCTTGGACTTGACCGCAGCCATGTGCGTTTTCTGCGCTGTCCGTCCGTTTCTTGGCCCGTTCACCGCCCTTTGCTTTCAGTGCTTTAGTTCCGGGGTTCAAGTATGCGCTGCTTCCGTTGGGTTTCTTTCCAGCGCTTTAGGCTCCTGCTGTGGCCGCCGAAGTTGTTCCTTCCCTTCCTCAGCTCGTTCACTGCGAGTGTGCAGAATCCCAGCTGCCCGGTGTCTGTCCTGCGGCTGTGCTGGTGAGAGTGAGTGTGCACGCGTGTGTGTGCGCACGAGTGTGTACCTGAATGTGAGCATGTGTGCACACGAATGTATGCACATGAGTGTGTACATGAGTGTGTATCTGCGTGTATACACGAATGAGCATGTGTGTACATGTGTGTGTATACATGAGTGTACACGAGTGTGTGTACCTGTGTGTACGCGTGAGCGTGTGTGCACGAGTGTGTGTGCACACGAATGTATGCACATGAGTGTGTATCTGCGTGTATACACGAATGAGCATGTGTGTACATGTGTGTATGTATACATGAGTGTACGCGAGTGTGACTGTGTACCTGTGTGTACGCGTGAGCATGTGTGTGCATGAGTGTGTATGAGTGTACATGAGTGTGTACATGTATGTGTGTGTACATCAGTGTGTGTGCCTGTGGGGGTGTGTGCACGAGGGTGTGTATTTCCGCGTGTGTCTTTGTGTCTGTGCATCTGTGTGTGTGTTTCCGCGTGTGTCTGTGTCTGTGTGTGTGCGTGCATGTCCGTGTCTTCACGTCGCTGTGCTGGTCACGGAAGCAGCTGGGACGCAGGAGGAAGCGGGCGCTCCGAGAACCGTTCGGTGCTGGCTCTGCCGTCGCAGCCGAGGCCCGGGGTGGTCGGTGCCGAGCTGCTGGGCCGCGCACGCGCCCGGCGCCTCAGCGGCTGCCCTCCGTGCCTCTGCCCTCAGTCTCAGACCAGCGTCCTGGAGGGCATCTCCTGTCAGGACCTGAGGAAATTCGGCACCCTCGTGTCCGCCGTGATCACCAAGTCGTGGCCCCGACGCCACGGGGAAGCCACGGACGACTTTGATGAGATTCTGAAACACCTGCTCACGGGGCCCGACGTCAAGCATCTCTTCAAGTTGTACGGTACGTCCCGGGGGCGGGGGCCGGCGCGGGGGGCTCATGTTCATCAGAGGAAGCAGACTGGGTGGTGGAGGGGCCCAGGAAGGCCCGGGGTGCCCTCAGTATGAGACACCCAGCACCGGAAGCCAGCACTGGTCGAGTGCCTGCTGGGTACCAGCTCCCATGCTGAGACAGTGTCTGATTTTTTTTTAAGGTTTATTTATTTATTTGAAAGGCAGAGTTGCAGAGCAAGAGTGAGAGACACAGAGAGAGAGAGAGAGAGAGAGAGAGAGAGAGCGCTTCCGTCTGCTGGTTCATGGCTGCAACAGCTGGGCCAGGCCAAAGTCAGGAGCCAGGAACTCTCTCCGGGTCTCCCGCGGGGCCGCCAGGGGCCCAGGCACTTGGGTCATCTTCCACTGCCTTCCCAGGTGCACCAGCAGGGGGCTGGACTGGAAGTGGAGCAGCCGGGACTTGAACCGGCGCCCACGTGGGATGCTGGCATCGCAGGCGGTAGCTCAACCTGTGGCCCTCGATGCTGGCCCAGACTCAGCGTCTGACGCCGTGCTTTCTGCGTCTGCTTTAAGCCTTCGGTTTCCTGGTGAGGAACTGGAGACGAGGCTGGCCACCGCCGGCAGCACCAGCGTCTCACGTGGGCACTGATTCGAGTCTCGGCTGCTCCACTGTCTTCCCGGTGAGGCAGCTTGGGCCACGAGTGGGCATGGCAGGGCCTGTGGCTCACTCACTGGGGGGCCCCCTGCACCCTTGCTTCTGCGGTTGGGACGGAGCTGCCGCGTTTCTTTTCAACGGTGCAGATAAGCGTGGTCCTCTCGCAGACACCGGGAGAGAAGTCTGCAGGTTAAACTAAGCACATCTAAGAAATTCTACCCCCGGTCCCGACCCTGAAGCTCACATTCCGGGTTTGGCGGAGTGGCGTCCTCACGGCCCTCGGCTGGCCTCCGGCGGCTGGGCTGCAGGCGCTCTCTCCCCGCCGTGGAGGAATGGGCCCGGGGCGCTGTGGGGCGAGGCGTGTGCTGGGCGCAGCCTTGGCAAACCCGGGCAACGCTGCCCTCCCGGCTGGTTTGGGCCACTGTGGAGCCATCGGCGTGAGCGAAGGCAGCCGGTCGGGTCTCCCAGCCACAGCGCCAGCCGTCTGGAAGCCTCCCGGGCTGGGCCGCGCAGGAGTCGGGCTGCTGGCTGAGAGCGGGCCCCGACTGAGTCCCCCGTGTCCTCCCCTGCTAGGAACCGACGAGAAGATACTGGCCAACATCACGGAGGAAGGCAAGAAGCTGATGGCCGCCGCCGACTCGGTGTTCACCATGGCCGCCGCCGGGCTCGTGTCGGGCAGCGTTCGGGTCGGGCACCTGGAGCTGATCCTGGGGCACAGGGCCCAGTTTCTCGACGTCTGGCGACTGCGTAAGCGCGGGCGGAGCCGCGTGCGGCAGGGTGCAGAGGAGCCACGGGCTGCAGCGCCTGTGTGTGCACGTGCGTGTGTGTCTGTGTGTGTATTCTGTGCACTGTATATGTGTGTAGCTGTGTGACTCTGTGTATCTGTGTGTAAGTCTGTGTGTCTGTATATGTGTGTGTGTGTGTCAGTGTGGATGTGTGCGTGGTTGTCTGCATCTTTGTATGTATCTGTGTGTGTGTATCTGCATATGTGTGTGTCTGTGTCTGTGTATGTGTGTTTATGTATGTGTACGTCTGTGTTAATTACTGTGTGTGTGTGACTGTGAATGTGTGTCTGTGTGTATCCATGTGTCTGTGTGTATCCTGTGCATCTGTGTATATGTTCATGTGTTTCTATATATCTATGTCTGTGTGTGTGTCTATCTGTGTGTGTATCTGTATCTCTGTGCTTATGTATCTGTGCAAGTGCGTGTCTGTGTTTGGTTGTCTATATGTTTGTGTGTGTGTGGTTATCTGTGTGTGTGTGTGTGTTAAAGTCTTTATGTTGCATGTATCAATGTTTTTATGTGTGTATGTGAATATGTCTACATATGTGTGTCTCTGTACATGTCTGCATATTGTGCATGTCTGTTAATATCTGTGTGTATTAATGTTTTTATGCGTATATGTGTGTCTATATGTGTATATGTGTCTGCATGTCTGTATATGTGTGTTAATGTTTGTGTGTGTCTCTGTGTCTGTGTGTGTATATGTCTGCATATGTGTGTATGTCTCTGTGTATATATGTGTGTGTGTGTCTCTGTGTGTGTGTCTCTGTGTGTCTGTGTCTGTGTGTATACGTGTGTACTCTGTGTGTGTGCATGAAGGGTGACCGTGTGGGCTCTGTAGAGTTGCTTTCTTGCAGTGATTCTGGGTGGCCCGTGATTCCCGGAGGAGCCCTGGCCTAGGGAGTGTCCGTGCTGGGTCTCAGGGCCTGGGGGCGTGGGTTCAGCAGTCTCGGGGGCTCGCGTGCGCCAGGCCCTCCCGGGCAGTGCAGGGGCCTTCAGAGCCAGGCGGCAGACGCGGCGCTCTGGGGGGTGCTTTGCCCTGTTGATCTGTGTGACCTGTCGCTGTGTGTTGTTTCCAGAGAGAAAAGCGTCTTCCCCCCGAGAGCGAGAGGACCAGTGCGACATGGAGGAGTTGCTGGGCTGGAGGAGCGCAGAGCTTGACTTCCTGAAGACCGAGCGGAGACGCGTGGGCAGCCTCCTGAGTCAGTGTGCGAAGGTGCAGCACCTGGTGCAAGGTGGTGTCTTTTTCCTTTCTCTGTTTGTTTGAAAGTCAAATTCACTCGCGAGAGAGGGGGAGAGAAGTCCTCCATCCACTGGTTCACTCCCCAAATGGCCATGATGGCCAGGCTGAGCCAGACCAAAGCAGGAGCCAGGAGCCTCTTCCAGGTCTCCCACGCGGGTGCAGGGCCCCAAGGACTTGGTCCATCTTCCACTGCTTCCCCAGGCCATAGCAGGGAGCTGGGCTGGAAGTGGAGCAGCTAGGACTCGAACCTGCACCCCAGTGCGGTGGCTGCACCTGCTGCCCGCGGCGCTGGCCCACCTGCTCCTTTCTTAAATCTGGTCCTGTTCCCGTCACGGTCGCTGCCTCATCCTCCCAAGAACACTGAGACTTTGACTAGGTGTTTTCTTCTTCTCAAAAATATGTACTTACTTGAAAATCAGAGTGACAGAGAGAGGGGGGGAGAGAGAGAGTGACAGAGAGAGAGAGAGAGAGACCCTCTTCCCAGATGCCCACAGCAGCCCCGATGGGGCCAGGCTGAAGCCGGGCGCCAGGAGCCAGGAGCTCCGTCGGGTCTGTCACGTGGGTGCGGACTCAGGCCCTCCGCCGTCATTCGCTCCCTCCCGAGGCGCATCAGCAGGGAGCTGGATCAGAAGCAGAGCAGCCGGGACTTGAACCGGCGCCCACATGAGATAGGGGTGTCCCAGGCAGCGGGTGAACCCGCCACACCATGTGTTCGGCCCCAGGTTTTCATCTTCCTTTTATTTACTTATTTCAGAGGCAGAGAGACAGACGGCTGCCATCTGTGGGTCACTCCCCAGGTTCCCAGTGACAAGTCTGGGCCAGCCTGAGGCTGAGAGCCAGGAGCCCAGGTCTCCCACCTGAGTGGCAGGGGCCCAATTATTGAGCCACTGCTGCTGATTCCAGGGTCCGCCCTCATACAAAGCTGGAGTCGGGATCCCCAGCTGAGGATCGAACCCGGGCATTCCGTTGTGGCATGTGGGTGTTTTAACCAGTGTCCTAACTGCCGAGCCAAACACCTGCTCCAAACTTTTTTTAAATAAAGATTTATTTATTTAAAAGTCAGAGTTACAGAGAGAGAGAAGCAGAGGCAGAGAGAGAGAGAGAGAGAGAGAGAGAGAGAGAGAGAGAGAGGGAGCGGTCTTCCATCTGCTGGTTCACTCCCCAGATGTCCTCAATGACCGGGGCTGGGCCAGGCTGAAGCCAGGAGCCAGGAGCTTCTTCCAGGTCTCCCACACAGGTGCAGGGCCCCAAGGACTTGGCCCATCTTCCACTGCTTTCCCAGGCCATAGCAGGGAGCTGGATCAGAGGTGAAGCAGCCAGGACTCGAACCAGCGCCCGTATGGATGCCGGCACTGCAGGCGGCAGCTTTACCTGCTATGCCACGGCGCCGGCCCCCAAACTTTTCTTTCTCTTTTCTTTGTCAGTTTCATGTTTCTTCCACCTTGATTTTATATTTTATAAAATATTTTTCCTTTGGACTTTAAAAAATATTTATTTGAGAGAGGGGAGAGAGAGACAGATCATCCCTCCACTGTTCACTCCCCAAATGCCTTCAACAGTCGGGGCTGGGCCAGGCCAAAGCTGGGAACCGGGAACTCAGTCCAGGCCTCCCATGTGGGCGGCAGGGACCCGGGTACATGAGCCGTCGCCTGCTGCCTCCCAGGTGCGCGTTACCAGGAAGCCGACTGCAGAGTGGAGGGGACTGAGAAGGGACGCGGGTGCCCAGGCAGAGTGGGGCTGCTGCACCCAGCGCCTGCTCCCCCAGATGGCTCCCCTCACCTGCCTTCCGTGTCGGGGACCCCTGTTTGTTTCTGTGAAAGGAGATGCCTACAAACGGGTTGAGACGGGGAGAGTGAGTTGGGCTTCAGGACCACTGGACAGACCTCCCCGGTCTCCTCTCAGGTTCCTGGCCTCCTGCCAGCAGGCCTGGGCCTGGCCGCCGCTCGCTGTGGGTTCTGGGGGTCGCGCTCGCCTGTGTGCGTCAGGCCCCGGTCTCAGTGTCGGTCTCCTCCCTCCTGTCTGCCTGCTCCTCCCCTCTGGTGGGATGCTCCCCCTCTGGTGGGATGCTCCCCCTCTGGTGGGATGCTCCCCCCGCTGAGTGCCACAGCCTCTCCACCTCCTGTGAATGGGTCCAGGTCTGGAATGACCCCAGCCCGACAGCCTTGCCCTCTGGAACACAGACGCCTGGGTGCTCGCCAGGGGGCAGGAGGTAGGGGCTGTCTGCCTGCTCTGTCTTCTCAGGGCTGAACCGGACCCACTTTTTTATTTTAAAGTGTATTTAACTACTTGAAGGGGCGAGTGACAAACAGAAAGAGAGAGAGAGAGACTCTTCCATCCTGCAGCAGCCAGGGCTGGGCCAGGCCGCAGCCAGGAGCCTGACGTCCACCCAGGTCTCCCCTGTGAGTGCCAGGGGCCCAGCTTGAGCCACTGCCTTCCCAGGCCCGTGAGCAGAGAGCTGGGAGCAGCGCCCCCTATGGGGAGCCGTCGGCATTGCAGGTGGCGCCAGCCCTCGGACCACGGCTTAAGTGACTGACAGCCTTCCTGTCTCTCAGCGCTGCCACCCCCGCCCCGTCCTGGCCACTGCGTGTAGGGACCCCTGGCCTGGCCCCTGGCGGCCCCAGTCCCCCCGCACCTCTGTGGCCGGGGGATCCCCGCCCTCACCCTCGCCGCTGTTCCCACGGCAAACCTGGTTTGCAGCTTCCGGAATGCTGCCGCTGTTGCCTCCTGTCCGATCCTTCCCTCCTGCTCCGTTCAAGGCTTCTTAAAGCCAGTTCTGCTGTCTTTGGAGTGGGATCGGGGAGGGTGGAAACCCTCGCGTGTTTTCAGCCTGTCAGGAACCCGCGTGGTACAGTGCGTGACCGCGTGACCGTGTTTGTGGAGGCACAGAGGGACCCGTGAGGGCTTTGTTATTTCTGTTTTAGCTGCAGAGCCAGACAGGATTCCCCGGACTCCCCAGTGCCCACGACAGCCCCCACCTTCCCAGGAGCCGAGACTCCACTCCTGGTCTCGCGTGGGCGTCGGGGCCCCAAGGCCGTCGCGCTGCCTGGCCTCCAGCCGGAGGCGGGGCCCGGAACCCGGCACCCCCGGGGGCCTGGGGGTCATGTGCTCACTTGAGTTGTACTGAGAGGAGATGGAAGGTTCTGTGAGCGAGGGCTGACGTTGGACGTCTCCTTCCTTTTCAAAGTGGACTTCGGCGAGATGGCCGTGAGGCACGCGGAAGACCTCAGCCGGGGAAGACTGAATGCGGCCGTGACCGTGAGGCTGCCCGGCTCCTCGGGCGAGGAGCTGGCCACACACTACCGCCTCAGCCCCCAGGCCCGAGGCATGGCCGAGCAGATCGACCTGCTAAAGGACAGCCACGTCTTCCAGCTCTTCTGGGAGGAGGCCGCACAGTCGCTGGGCCGGCCGCTGCGCCTCCCAGAGCCGCTGGGCGCGGCCGAGGATGAACCGCAGCGGCCAGTCGTGACGCTGGACGCGGCCCACGACGCTCTATTTTGTCCCTGCTATGAGAGGTTTCTCAGGTTTTACCGGAACCTGAAGTCAGGAGAGGTCACCCTGGCGGAGGTGGACGTGGTTTTCAGGGACTTCGTGAGCAAGTACAGTAGCCTGGCCCTGGAGCTCCGGGCCATGAGTGCTGTGGACGGGCAGAGCATGAGGGGCTGGATTTATGGCCGTGTCCAGCAGATCGAGGAGTACCACAGCCTGCACCGGGCCGTGCACTCGGCCAAGGTCATCCTGCAGGTCAAAGAGGACCTGGGGCTGACCGGCAGCTTCAACATCCTTTACACTTTACTCAACTTCGTAAGTCGTCTGCTGGGGGCCCCGGAGTGGGCTTCCCGGGGAGCTGGCGGGGGGGCCCAGAGCGGGCTCCCGGGTAGCTGGTGGGGGGGGGCCCAGAGCGGGCTCCCGGGGAGCTGGCAGGGGGGCCCAGAGCGGGCTCCCGGGGAGCTGGCGGGGGGGCCCAGAGCGGGCTCCCGGGGAGCTGGCGGGGGGGCCCCGGAGCGGGCTCCCGGGGAGCTGTTGGGGGTCCCCAGAGCGGGCTCCCGGGGAGCTGGCGGGGGGGCCCAGAGCGGGCTCCCGGGGAGCAGGCGGGGGCCCCGGAGCGGGCTCCCGGGGAGCTGTTGGGGGTCCCCAGAGCGGGCTCCCGGGGAGCTGGCGGGGGCCCCGGAGCTGCCTTCGAGCTGAACGCGAGGCCAGGAGGTCCCAAGCTTTGTTTTTGCCTTGCTTGTGATCGAGGCTGCTACTCAGCCAGTTGGCTTTCTCTTCTCTTCTCTTCTCTTCTCTTCTCTTCTCTTCTCTTCTCTTCTCTTCTCTTCTCTTCTCTTCTCTTCTCTTCTCTTCTCTTCTCTTCTCTCCTCTCCTCTCCTCTCCTCTCCTCTCCTCTCCTCTCCTCTCCCCTCTCCTCTCCCCTCTCCCCTCTCCTCTCCCCTCTCCCCTCTCCTCTCCCCTCTCCTCTCCCCTCCTCTCCTCTCCCCTCTCCCCTCCCCTCTCCCCTCCCCTCTCCTCTCCCCTCTCCTCTCCCCTCTCCTCTCCCATCTCCTCTCCCCTCTCCTCTCTCCTCTCCTCTCTTCTCTCCTCTTTCTTCAGTTTTTCTTATTTGTCAGAGAATTAGGGAGGGAGGGAGAGAGACGTCCTCATTCACGGATTCACTCCCCAAACGGCCACAATGGCCAGGGCGGGGCCAGGCTGAAGTCAGCATCCGAGAACTCCATCTGGGTCTCCCACATGGGTGCAGGGCCAGAGCCCAGGCTGTCCTCCGCTGCCTTCCCAGGCTGTGAGCAGGGGCGGGTGGACGGTGGAGCCATGAGGACAGAGCTGGTGCCATGCGGGATGCCGGCCCGACCAGCCTTTGGTTGGCTTGAGGGTCACGTTTTTGAAGGGCAGCCTCTTCAGGTTATAGAAGCTAAACAGGAAACTGCTGCCGATTACCCAGTCATGCCCCCTCGACCTAGCGAGAACCAGCGAGGAGGCAGAAGGTGTATGATGTCATACGTTATAGCAAGGACAGCCAAATGCTCAAAATCTAGCAGATTTTGCACTTGACCTTGACCCCCACAGCATCAGTTCTCAGGTTACTGGTCTGGGCCTGTTTCTTTGTTTAACAGCAGACACCCACACACTTGTTGTGGAGAGGAATAGATTTTACTATTAAAAAGGTTTAATTACTTGTTTGAAAAGCAGAGTGACAGGGAGAGACAGAGTCAGAGAGAGCGAGAGAGAGAGAGAGAGAGAAATCTTCCAATGCCCAGCATAGCCAGGGCTGGGCCAAGTTGAAGCCAGCAGCCCAGAACTCCCTCTGGGTCTCTCGTGTGGGTGCAGGGGCTCAAGCACTTGGGCCACCTTCTGCTGCTTCCGTTAGCAGGGAGCTGGATCAGAAGTGGAGCAGCCGGGACTTGAACTGACGCTCTGATACGGGACACTGGTGTTGCAAGCAGTGGCAGCCCACTGCCCCCAGTGCCGGGCCCCGGGAACAGATCTAAAACTCTGTGCGACATTCTTAGCTGCATGCGGGGCCATGGGGGTTCGATGGGGGGTGTTGGGCTGTCCATCCTGGTGGCAAACGCGTGGCCCACTGAGTGGCCAGGGCGTCAGGGAGGGCGGTGCTTTTGGGACGGCCGCTGCTGCACAGACGCCGGCCCATTAGCTGGTCCCGGGCCACAGCAGGGCTTTGTCTTGCAGACGGATGACTTCGACAAATTTCGCCACGAGAAACTGGACCAGATCAGCCCGCAGCTCATCCAGGCCAAGAAGGTGCTGCAGGACATCAGCGAGCCCCGCTGCCAGTGCCTGAGGGAGCTGTCCCTGTGCAGGGAGTTCATCGGCTGGCTCCGCGACGCCCTGGCAGGTGAGGCCCGCGCGCCACGCTCGCGGGGGGTCGGGGGGCAGGGCCCCGTGGCGCTCCAGCTTGTAGGAGGCGTCACCTGCGTTCCGGAGCCGTCTGGGCCAGGTCCCCTCCCGGACTGCTGGTGGAGCTCCTATGGGGCGGGATGCCCCGTCTCTGCCATCAGACTCTGCCCTTGGCCGCTTTAGCCTTTGCTTCCAGTGGAGACTGACCAGGGCACCAGGGGGCGGGGACCCTGCGGCAGCGTCCTCCACAGGGTGTGCGTCTGCGCGGGCCAGGGCTTGGTGGCCCCGGTAGTTCTGAGGCATCACTGCCTTGGCAGGGAGCGGAGGGGGAAGGTGTGGGCAGGCGGCAGTGCCCAGGCGGGGGGGGGGGCGTGATGGAGCCGCACTGGCCCCGCTGCCTCCGGCTGTGGACGCTAGTCCTTCACCCCGTCCCTTGGTTAGTAATCAGGGGTGACCGTGCCTGTTTCTTGAGAGGAAATGAGGTATGCAGACGCCCGGCACCGTGCCTGGGCCCACGTGGCTGGTGAGGAGAGGTGAGAGCCCACATGGCTGTGGGGGAGAGGTGGATGCCCACGTGGCTGTGGAGGAGAGGTGGATGCCCACGTGGCTGTGGAGGAGAGGTGGATGCCCACGTGGCTGGTGAGGAGGGGTGGATGCCCAAGTGGCTGTGGAGGAGAGGTGGGTGCCCACGTGGCTGTGGGGGAGAGGTGGATGCCCACATGGCTGTGGGGGAGAGGTGGATGCCCACGTTGTTGGTGAGGAGAGGTGGATGCCCACGTGGCTGTGGGGGAGAGGTAGATGCCCACGTGGCTGTGGAGGAGGGGTGGGTGCCCACGTGGCTGTGGGGGAGAGGTGGATGCCCACGTGGCTGTGGAGGGAGGTGAGATGCCCACGTGGCTGGTGAGGAGAGGTGAATGCCCACGTGGCTGGTGAGGAGGGGTGGATGCCCACGTGGCTGGTGAGGAGAGGTGGATGCCCACGTGGCTGTGGAGGAGAGGTGGATGCCCACGTGGCTGTGGGGGAGAGGTGGATGCCCACGTGGCTGTGGAGGAGAGGTGAGATGCGGGTCAGTGATGTCCCCACACCCTGGGAAACTCACTGAAAACACAGAGTGGGTAAAACCCTGCAAACCCATGAGTGGGCGTCCGTAGCGCCACGTAGGACGACTGCCGAGACCGGAGCCTGGGGCCCGCGGGAGCCGCCCCGCACTGGCCTTCTCTGCTTCTCCCCAGACATCAATGAGCTGAAGGTGTTTGTGGACCTGGCCTCCATCTCCGCCGGGGAGAATGACATCGACGTGGACCGCGTGGCCTGCTTCCACGACGCCGTGCAGGGCTACGCGCCCCTGCTATACAAGCTGAGCGCCACGGCGGACTTCCCCGAGTTCATGGACCATCTCAGGGAGCTCTGGAAGGCCCTGGACAACGACCAGCACCTGCCCAAGAAGCTGGTCAGTCTCACTGTGGCCCGGAGGTGGGGCCAGCCTCGCGGAGCAGTGGGCAGCCTCAGGGGGCGACGTGGGAGTGCGCACCCCTGGCTGCCGGGACAGATGGGTGCTCGCGAGAACAGTCTTGCTGCGGAGGGCACTGCCTTCCCGAGCTTGTTGGTAAACGAGACACGACGTTGCCTGCCCCACCAGCGATGCCGGGGAGTCACACCGGGGACGTGCCGAGTGCTGCCGGGCGGTATCTTGGCTGCAGCGATGCCCACTTCTTGAAGCGCTGCTTTTGACCTTTTGACCACTGACAGAGACGGATTATTGTTTCCTCGGGAGGAAAAGAGCTTTTCGGGGGGGGGGGGCGGGCTCTCGGCTCCAGGGTCTGAGTGCACCCCCGTAAGTAGTAGTGCCTGGTCCCAGGCAGCTGGTGCTTACCCGGCAGAGGACAAGGACGGCACGAGCAGGGGCCTGCGGGCAGGCGTTTCGCGGACTCCCATGCACAGGAGTGCCGCTCTCGCGGTTCCCGGTCTCCCGGTGGTGCCAAGGAGCCACGAAAGGGCCTTCGGACCCAGGGCACCTTGGCCCTGCTGCGTGGGGCTCCCTGCCCACAGAACAGTGGCCCTCCACCGGGGAGCCAGGCCGTGGCCGGCTGTTCTCACCTGTTTCTCCACGAGTGACGGTCCCGGCCGTGAGGGCAGGGGGGCACAGCTGGTGCAGAAGCAGCCCCCACCTGAGCCACAGGGTCCTGGCAGGCACACAGTGAGGCGCCTGGGCCGGCCCCGTGCCCCGAGAGGGCTGAGCTGAGCAGGGGGCGGGGCGGGGGTGCCGCGGGCAGGTGGGCGGCTAGCACAGCGCCGGCCTGAGTGCCCGTGTCGTCCCCACAGCGCGATTCCGCCAGGAACCTAGAGTGGCTGAAGACGGTGAAGGAGAGCCACGGGTCTGTGGAGCTGTCCTCCTTGTCCCTGGCCGCGGCCATCAACAGCAGAGGCATCTACGTGCTGGCGGCACCCCGAGCCGGGCACAGGGTGGGTGGTCCGCTCGCGGGGCTGCCGCGGGGCGGGGCGGGGCGGGGTGCTTGCTGCCCTGCCCTGCGGCGGCGGCTACACTGCGATGTTCCGCAGATTTCCCCCGACGCGGTGCTGCGCCTGGACCTGCCCCAGGGCCAGGGCTGGCAGGACGAGGTGCGCAGGTACACCCTGGAGGAGCTGAAGGAGCTGCTGAACAAACTGATGCTGCTGTCCGGCCAGGGGGACCACAACAGCTCCGAGGTGGAGCGGTTCTCCGAGGTGGGCGTCGCCCGGGCCGCGGCAGGGGCTGGACCTGCGGGCTCACGGAGACTGCAGCGCGGAGCCCCAAGGCAGCCCCTTCGGAGAGGACGGGGTGCGGGGGTGGGGGCGCCCCGGAAGGAATTCACCCGCCGTCCTCACTGAGGCGCGCGGTGGCCCCAGGGGGCCCCGTACCCCCAAGCCGCCGCCGTCCACTTCTCCAGTGCCCGAGAGAAGGCAGCTGTTTGGCCGTGTGCGGGGAAGACAGGCCTCCCGTGCTAAGGGCCCAAGGCCCCACCTCGGGGCGGTGCGGGAAGCTGTCACCGCCCCGCCCCCGCTCACGCCCCGCCCCCCCCCCCCCCCAGGTGTTCTGCCGCGTGCAGAGGCTGGTGCAGGCCTTCATCGACCTGTACTCCGCGGGAAACGTGCTGTTCCGCGCCTGGACCGCCGAGGTGCGCTGCTCCGTGACCAAGGTCGCGTCCATCCGTCTGGACTTCGGCCTGGAGGTGCTGGCGCCGCTGACGGGCCGCGGGGACGAGCTGGAGCTGCTGGAGGCCGTGTGCCGGCAGATGGAGCGCTTCCTGGCGCGCTGGGAGGCCTTCGTGACGCGGCAGCGCGAGGAGCACTTCTACCTCAACTTCTACACGGCCGAGCAGCTGGTCTACCTGAGCGCCGAGCTGCCCCGGGCGCCCCCCAGCGAGGCCGCCCTCACCATGCTGGGCTTCCTCAAGGGCGGCTGCACCCCCGCCGACGTCTCGTGGGCCCTCTCGGGGAGCGGCGGGGAGGGGGCCCGGGCCCGCGCCAGCGCCACCCTGCAGGAGCTGTGGCCCGCACTCCTCGCCGAGTTCAACCTGGAGAAGCAGCTGAGCCTGTTCCTGGAGCAGGCCGTGGGCTGCGTGAGCGCCTTCCTGCCCCACTGTCTGGACCTGGACGCCGTGGGCCGCTGCCTGGCGCGCCTGGCCAGCCTGGGGGGGCCCCCGGTGGAGCGGCGCCTTCCCCAGGGCCTGCAGGCGGGCCGGCCCAACCTGATCCTGTGTGCCCAGGCCGAGGTGCTGCCGGCGGCGCTGGCCGTGTACATGCAGGCGCCCGGGCAGCCGCTGCCCACCTACGACGAGGTGCTGCTGTGCACGCCCGGCACCAGCTTCGAGGAGGTGGCGCTGCTGCTGCGCCGCTGCCTGACGCCCGGCTGCCGCGGCCGCCGGCTCTACAGCCTGCTGTTTGCCGACCGCCTGAGCTACGAGGTGGGCTGCCGGGTGGAGGCGTTGTTCCACAGCCTGTGCGCACGGCACCACCGCGACGACTACCAGCTCGTGCTGCTGTGTGACAGCGACCGCGAGCACTGCTGCCTGCCCTCGGCCTTCAGCCGGCAGAAGGTCCTGGTCACCCCGCAGGCGCCCCTGGACACCATCCAGGCCTACCTGGCGCGGCACTACCAGGTCCCCCAGCAGACCCTGTCGGCGGCGGCCGTGTTCAGGGACCGGATGTGTGTGGGCATCGTGGCCTCCGAGAGGGCCAGTGTCGGTAATGAGAGTGGCGGGCCTGCGGGGGGGGGGGGTCCCATTCCCCAGGGACCCCCGTGCCCCTGTCCATCCAGCAGAGGGGACCCTTGAGCCTGGGGGTGGGGGTTGCCTCATCTGTAGGGCAGGGTCCTCCCTGGGCTGCAGGGCGCCCCCTTACCCTGTGACCTAACTGGACACGTCCTGTGGACTTTGCGGCCTCGTCCTCCAAGCCCACTTCTGCAGTTTACTTGGTTTTTTATAAACTCTTCAGGCCTTCTTGGAGTTCATGTTGGGTGTGGGACCCGGGCAGGCAGAGCTGTGCGCTGAGTCTGACCCCTGAGGGACCCCTCAGGGACCAGGGACGCAGAACTGGGCACTGGCACCCTGACCCCTGAGGGACCAGGGATGCACAGCTGGGCGCTCTCTGACCCCTGAGGGGCCAGGGGAGGCAGAGCTGGGCGCTGTCTGACCCCTCAGAGACCAGGGACACAGAGCCGGGCACTGTCTGACCCCTCAGAGACCAGGGACGCAGAGCTGGGCGCTGTCTGACCCCTCAGAGACCAGGGACGCAGAACTGGGCGCTCTCTGACCCCTGAGGGGCCAGGGGACGCAGAACTGGACGCTGTCTGACCCCTCAGAGACCAGGAGAGGCAGAGCTGGGTGCTGTCTGACCCCTCAGAGACCAGGAGAGGCAGAGCTGGGTGCTCTCTGACCCCTCAGAGACCAGGGACACAGAACTGGGTGCTCTCTGACCCCTGAGGGACCAGGGACACAGAGCTGGGTGCTGTCTGACCCCTCAGAGACCAGGAGAGGCAGAGCTGGGCGCTGTCTGACCCCTCAGAGACCAGGGACGCAGAGTTGGGCGCTCTCTGACCCCTCAGAGACCAGGGACACAGAGCTGGGCGCTGTCTGACCCCAGGGGCCCCCGGCCGGCCCCGGCCCTCGCCTGACTGCCTGCTGTCGCGCTGTAGGGAAGTCGCTGTACGTGCGGAGGCTGCACAGCAGGCTGAGGCAGGTGCACGGGCAGCGGGTGCCCCTGAAGACCATTCGCCTGATGGAGCCCGAGGTGGACGAGAGCTGCGTCCTGAGCAGCCTCGTGCCCTTCCTGAACGCGCCGTCCCAGAGCACACCCATGATCTTCCACTTCGACGTGACCTCCTCCGTGAGTGCTGGCCCGCCCCCCGGCCCTGCTCCCGCCGCGCGCAGGATTCTCCGTCTTCTTCCGCACGGTGCTGAGCCGCGTCGCTGGGTCGCAGCACGGAGGTGGACCAGCCGGGCTCACCTGGGCGTCCGGCGCCGCCGCAAACGCACCTGCTCTGTCCGTAGGTGCGGGTGGGCGTCGAGGCATTCCTCTTCAAGCTCCTCGTGTTGCAGTACTTGATGGACGTCCACGGGAAGATGTGGCTGCGGAACCCGCGCCACCTGTACCTCGTGGAGATCCTGGAGGACAAGTCCGCGCTGGCCAAGAGGCCGTCGAGACGGGTACGCGGGCTCGGTGGAGCGAGGCGGCTTGGGGGCTCCCAACTCCGCTCAGGGAAGCGCCTGAGTGCCCTGTTAGTACGGAAACACCAACTTTTCACTCTCTTTTTAAAGATTATCTCACTTATTTAAAAGAGTGATAGGGAGGGACAATGAGAGAGAGCTTCCATCCGCTGGTCCACTCCCCAGATGGTCAACACCCAGAGCTGGGTCAGACTGGAGCCAGAGCCTGGAGCTGTCTCGAGTCTGGTGGAGGGCAGGGGCCGTCATCTGCTGGCTTCCCAGGCGCATTAGCAGGGGCCGGATTAGAAGCAGAGGCACCCGACTCAGAGCTCCGGTACAGGATCCGGCCCCTCCACTCTGTCTTTATTTACTTATTTTTGTCTTTAAAGATTTATTTATTTATTATAAGATTGATTAATTTATTTTAAAGGCAGAGTTACAAAGAGGCGAAAAAGAGAGAGAGGTCTTCCATCTGCTGGGTCACTCCCCAAATGGCCACAGTGGCCGGAGTGGTCCGTTCCAAAGCCAGGAGCCGGGTCTCCCACGCAGGTGCAGGGTCCAGGGACCTGGGCCGTCCTCCACTGCCTTCCCAGGCCACAGCAGGGAGCTGGATCAGCAGTGGAGCAGCCGGGACTCAAATCTGTGCCCGTACGGGATGCGGCGCTGCAGGCCATGACGTTACCTGCTACACCAGTGCCGACCCCAGATTTATTTTACTCATTTGAAAGGCAGAGTTACAGAAAGAGGTAGAGGCAGAGAGAGAGAGAGAGAGAGAGAGAGAGAGAGAGAGAGGTCTTCCATCCGCTGGTTCACTCCCCAGATGTCCTCAGTGACCAGGGCTGGGCCAGGCTGAAGCCAGGAGCCAGGAGCTTCATCCAGGTCTCCCAGGCGGGTGCAGGGCCCAAGCACCTGGCCCATCCTCCACTGCCCTCCCAGGTGTGTTAGCAGGGAGCTGGATGGGAAGTGGAGCAGCCGGGACTCACTGGTGCCCGTATGGGAGGCCGGTGCTGCAGGCCGGGGCTTTAACCCGCTGCCCCACGCGCCGGCCCCTCCACTCTCTTTAATAACACCTCGCAGGTGTGTCTTCCTCACTTGGGGTTGCTGCCGTGGGGGGGGCCGGGCTTCCCTTCCTGATGCAACAGACAGGGAATGGCACTTCCGTCACAGAGCTTGCTTAGCCGCGAGCTCCGTCTGCCCCACGTGCACATAGTAGGTGTTACTGAGAACTGAGTTAAGCGTGTGGCTCCCGCAGGTCAGCTTCTGCAAGACCCTGGTGCCGACCGGAGTGAGGGGTCCCACGGAGTGAGGGGTCCGAGACCGGAGTAAGGGGTCTGACCGGAGTGAGGGGCTCGACCGGAGTGAGGGGTCCAACCTGAGTGGGGGGTCCGACCTGAGTGAGGGGTCCGGCCAGAGTGAGGGGTCCGACCTGAGTGAGGGGTCTGACCTGAGTGGGGGGTCCGACGGATTGAGGGGTCCCACGGAGTGAGGGGTCCGACCTGAGTGAGGGGTCTGACCGGAGTGAGGGGTCCGACCTGAGTGGGGGTCCGACCGGAGTGAGGGGTCTGACCGGAGTGAGGGGTCTGACCTGAGTGAGGGGTCTGACCTGAGTGGGGGGTCCGACGGATTGAGGGGTCCCACGGAGTGAGGGGTCCGACCTGAGTGAGGGGTCCGACAGAGTGAGGGGTCCGACGGAGTGAGGGGCTCGACCGGAGTGAGGGGTCCGACCTGAGTAGGGGGTCCGACCTGAGTGAGGGGTCCGGCCAGAGTGAGGGGTCTGACCTGAGTGAGGGGTCTGACCTGAGTGGGGGTCCGACCTGAGTGAGGGGTCCGGTGGAGTGGGGGTCCGACCTGAGTGGGGTTCCGACCTGAGTGGGGGTCCAACGGAGTGGGGGGTCTGACGGAATGAGGTCTGCGGGCAGCCGCGCGTCTCAGTGACCCCCCGAGAGGGGCTCCCTCGGAGGGCGGGGGGCTGAGCGGTAACGCTGCCCTCGTGTCTCCTTCCCAGGGCACGCAGGCCCCGCACTTCAGCCTCCTCGACGTCTTCCCGAAAGTCACCTGCCGGCCTCCCAAAGAAGTGCTGGGCGTGGGGCCGACTCCCGGGCCCGGGCTGGACGAGCGGGAGTTCCGCAGCGAGACCTTCCAGAGGCCTTACCAGTACCTGAGGCGCTTCCACCTGCGCCAGGACCTGGACGCGTTCCGGTACCAGCCGGGCTCGGTGGAGGGCGGCCCCGGGGAGTGCCTGCAGCTCCTGCTGCTCCACTGCGGCGTGGCGGACCCGTCCTGGGCCGAGCTGCAGAACTTCGCGCGCTTCCTGAACTGCCAGCTGCGGGACTGCGAGGCCTCGCTCTTCTGCGACTCGGGCTTCACCGGAGACACCCTGCGGGGCTTCAAGAGCTTCGTGGTCACCTTCATGATCTTCATGGCCAGAGACTTCGCCACGCCCACCCTGCAGACCTCGGACCAGAGCCCCGGGAAGCACCTGGTCAGCATGGACGGGGTCCGGGAGGAAGACCTGGCCCCCTTCTTGCTCCGCAGGAGGTGGGAGTCGGAGCCCCACCCGTACGTCTTCTTCAACGACGACCGCGTGTCCATGACGTTCATCGGCTTCCACCTCCAGCCCAACCAGGCGGGCGGCGTGGACGCCGTCAATCACCTGAACGGGCAGGTCATCAAGAAAGACGTGATGACGCAGCAGCTGTACCAGGGGCTGCTGCTGCAGAGGGTGCCCTTCAACGTGGACTTCGACACGCTGCCCAGACACGAGAAGCTGGAGCGGCTCTGCCTGGCCCTGGGCGTCCAGTGGCCCCACGACCCCGACGAGACGTACGAGCTCACCACGGACAACATGCTGAAGATCCTGGCCATCGAAATGCGGCTCCGGTGCGGGATCCCGGTCGTCATCATGGGGGAGACCGGCTGCGGGAAGACCAGGCTCATTAAGTTCCTCAGCGACCTGCGTCGTGGGGGCGCCGTGGCCGAAACCATGAAGCTGGTCAAGGTCCACGGGGGCACGACGGCCGACGCGATCCGCTCCAGGGTCCAGGAGGCCGAGAGGGTCGCCCTCCGCAACAAGGCCCAGCACGGGCTGGACACCATCCTGTTCTTCGACGAGGCCAACACGACCGAGGCCATCAGCTGCATCAAGGAAGTCCTGTGTGACCGCTCGGTGGGAGGCCAGCCCCTGGCCGAGAACTCCGGTTTGCACATCATCGCGGCCTGCAACCCGTACCGCAGGCACACCCAGGAGATGATCCGGCGGCTGGAGTCGGCCGGCCTGGGCTACAGGGTCAGCGCGCAGGAGACGGCCGACAGGCTGGGCTCCATCCCGCTGCGGCAGCTGGTGTACCGGGTCCACGCCCTGCCCCCGAGCCTGGTTCCCCTGGTCTGGGACTTCGGGCAGCTGAACCTCAGCGCCGAGTGTCTCTACATCCTGCAGATCGTCCAGAGGTCGGTGGACCGCGCCCGGATCGACGAGGGCCACACGCGGGTGATGGCGAAGGTGCTGTGTGCCTCGCAGGCCTTCATGAGGAGCAGGGAGAACGAGTGTGGCTTCGTCAGCCTCAGGGACGTGGAGCGCTGCATGGCGGTGTTCCACTGGTTCCATGAGCGCAGCGAGGCCCTCCTGGGCAGGCTGGACTCCTTCCTGGACGAGGCCGGCGTCAGGAAGGGCGGCCAGGTCGAGAGAGACCCGGTGCTCTGGGCCCTGGTGCTGGCTCTGGGGGTGTGCTACCACGCCTCTCTGGAGAAGAAGGAGTCCTACTGGAGGGTCGTCTGCAAGTTCCTTCCCGAGCCGTACGACAGCAGCAAGGCCGTCCTGGAAGAGATAAGCCAGACACAGGCGCTCTTCCTGCACGGCGCGCCCCTGCGGCAGGCCATCGCCAGGAACTCGGCCCTGCAGGAGAACGTCTTCATGATGGTCGTCTGCATCGAGCTCAGGATCCCGCTCTTCCTGGTGGGGAAGCCCGGCAGCTCCAAGTCTCTGGCCAAGACCATCGTGGCGGACGCCATGCAGGGCCCGGCCGCCCACTCGGAGCTCTTCCGGGGCCTGAAGCAGGTGCACCTGGTGTCGTTCCAGTGCAGCCCCCACTCCACCCCGCAGGGCATCATCGGCACCTTCCGGCAGTGCGCCCGCTTCCAGCAGGGCAAGGACCTGCAGCAGTACGTGTCCGTGGTGGTGCTGGACGAGGTGGGCCTGGCCGAGGACTCGCCCCGCATGCCGCTGAAGGCCCTGCACCCGCTGCTGGAGGACGGTTGCATCGATGACGACCCGGCCCCCCACAAGAAAGTGGGCTTCGTCGGCATCTCCAACTGGGCCCTCGACCCCGCCAAGATGAACCGCGGCATCTTCGTGGCGCGCGGCAGCCCCAGCCAGAAGGAGCTCATCGACAGCGCGAGGGGCATCTGCTCCTCCGACGGCCTCGTGCTGGCCCGCGTCCAGGGCTACTTCGCGCCCTTCGCCCGGGCCTACGAGGCGGTGTGCCGCAGCCAGGACAAGGAGTTCTTCGGGCTCCGGGACTACTACAGCCTCATCAAGATGGTCTTCGCCACGGCCAAAGCCTCGCTCCGGCCGCCCGCCCCGCGGGACATCGCGCAGGCCGTCCTGCGCAACTTCAGCGGCAAGGACGACCTCCCGGCGCTGGACATATTCTGCGCCAGCCTGCCCGAGGCCCGCTGCGCCGAGGAGGTCAGCCCCCTGCAGCTCATCAGGCAGAACATCTTCGGGGACGCGCGGGCGTCGGGCGCGGGGCCGGCGGGGCCGGAGGGGCCGGAGGAGCCGGAGGTCCGCTATCTGCTCGTGCTCACCAGGAACTACGTGGCCCTGCAGATCCTGCAGCGGCTGTTCCGCGCGGGCCAGCAGCCCGAGATCATCTTCGGGTCCAGCTTCCCCAAGGACCAGGAGTACACGCAGATCTGCAGGAACATCAACCGCGTGAAGGTCTGCATGGAGACCGGCAGGATGGTGGTGCTGCTCAACCTGCAGAGCCTCTACGAGAGCCTGTACGACGCGCTCAACCAGTACTACGTGCGCCTCGGCGGCCACAAGTACGTGGACCTGGGCCTGGGCACGCACCGCGTCAAGTGCCGCGTCCACCCCGGCTTTCGGCTGATCGTCATCGAGGAGAAGGACGTGGTCTACAGGCAGTTCCCCGTCCCGCTCGTCAACCGGCTGGAGAAGCACTACCTGGACATCCACACGGTGCTGCCGCCGTGGCAGAGGGGCGTCGCCGAGGAGCTCCAGGCGTGGGTGGCCAAGTTCGTGGACCTGAGGCCGGACCAGCTGCTGGCCAGGCACAAGTACAGCCCCGCCGACGTCTTCATCGGGTTCCACTCCGACACCTGCGCCTCCGTGGTGCTGCAGGTGGCCGAGAGGCTGGGCGCCCGGGACCTGACCGGCGAGCACTACCAGCAGGTGCTGGAGGAGGCCAAGCTGGCCCTGCTGGGCTGCGCCACGCCTGACGCCGTGGTCCGGCTGAGCGCGTCCTTGCTGGGCGGCTTCACCGCGCAGGGGCTGTCACGGGAGTACTACAGCTGCCAGCGGCACGACTCCTTCGCCGACTTCCTGCAGGCCCAGCTCCGCACGGTGGATCCGGAGTGCCGGGCCGTCTTCACCGAGGTGATGACCGCTTGCCCTCCTGAGGGTCCCGAGTTCCTAGTGTCGGGGCCGCAGGCTGGGATCCATGGCTCCTTCGACGTCCACGTGAGGGGTGGTGCTGGGTTCACTGGCACTGCTGGTCATTCCCCGTATTAAGTGCCAGGACGCAAAGTTCAGTTTCACCAAGTTTAGAATACTTTTTTTTTTTTTAAAGATTTATTTACTGGGGCCGGCGCTGTGGCCTGGCCTGCGGTGCCAGTATCCCATACGGGCTCTGGTTCGAGTCCCAGCTGCTCCACTTCTGATCCAGCTCTCTGCTGTGGCCTGGGAGGGCAGTAGAAGACGGCCCAAGTCCTTGGGCCCCTGCACCCGTGTGGGAGACCAGGAAGAAGCTCCTGGCTCCTGGCTTTGGATCGGCGCAGCTCCAGCCGTTGCAGTCAATTGGGGAGTGAACCAGCAGATGGAAGACCTCTCTCTCTCTCTCTCTCTGCTTCTGCCTCTGAGTAACTCTGCCTTTCACATAAATAAATAAATTTTTAAAATTACTTATTTATTTATGTGAAAGGCAGAGCAATGAAGGGAGGGGAGGCAGATCCTCCATCCGCTGGTTTACTCTCCAAATGGCTGCAGTGGCTGGGCTGAGCCAGGCTGAAGTCAGGAGCCCAGAGCTCTGTGCAGGGCCCCGAGCACTTGGGCATCTTCCGGTGCTTTCCCAGGTGCATTGGCAGGGAGCGGGATTGGAAGTGGAGCAGGCGGCACTCGGCCATCGCTCTGAGATGTCGGCATTACCGCACCACAATGCTGCTGCCTGCAGAGAGGCGTAACAGCGGTCAGGGAGGGGGGAGGGAGGGAGCGCAGACCCCTAGCCAGTGGCTCTCCCCCTAAATTCCTGCGGCAGCCAGGGCTAAGTGGAGCCCAGGCCAGGGGCTGGGAACTGAATCCGGGTCTCTCACGTGGGAGTCGGGAACCCGGTCACCTGAGCTGTCAGCGCTGCGTCCCGGGCTGTGCGTCCGCTGGAGTCCGGCACCAGGGCTGGGCACAGGCCCAGGCACTCTGATGTGGTGGGAGGACGAGGTAGCCACCAGCCTGACGCCCGCCCCTGCGGTGCCCGTTCTGCACCGCGTTCCCTGCCGAGTGCCGAGCTCAGGGCTCTGAGGACGTGGAAGGGAGTTGACGGAGCTATCTTTGGTCAGCACACGAGGGTGAGGAGAGAGGCCCGGGCAGGTCCCGCGGTGTCCCTGGATCAGGACACTGACCAGTGCTGGGCCGCAGGTCAGGGTCCAAGGTCAAAGATTTCCTTTCAAGTCCCCTCGAGCTGACCCTAAGGAGGGACTTGGGAAAGCTCAGGAGGCCGAAGCACTCCTAGGGCAAAAGTGACCAAGTGTGAAGCAGAAGGGCAGGGACCGTGGACGGAGCTTCAGGTTCAAGGCCGTGAGGAGGGCCTGTGCACAGCCCCGAGGGGCCCGAGGTGTCCCACAGGAAGCAGTGCAGGAGGGAGTGAGCGGGCAGTGGTACCAGGTGGACAGGAAGCACTGGGCGGTTAGGAGGCCGGCTCCGGGCTAAGGAGAGGAGCAGGTGGACGTGCAAGGCGGCGGGGGTCACCCAGTGCACAGAGCGGTCTGGGGCCAGCTCCCGGGCTCCTCCTTGTGTGGTCGGTTTCCTTCATCTGAGGGAGAACCCAGGAGCGAGCCGTGACGGCCTCTGGTGGGGGTGCACCTGCGGGAGGCTGGGTGGGCCCAGGCTGCAGCTCTGGTGTCTGTGCTGTGGACGTGGCCCGTGGGTTCTGCTTGCTTTCTGTGTGCGCACTGCCGGGCCCACGCCTTTCCTGTCCGCCGGTGACCCGCCTCTCCCACCCTCGCAGGTCACCACGTTCTCCAGGCTGCTGACCAGTCAGGACTGCGAGTGTCTGGGGGCGGAGCTGGCCGGCCGGGCTCCGAGGCCCACGGTCCTGTCGCTGCAGCAGTTCGACACCGAGTACTCCTTCCTCAAGGACGTTCGGTGAGGCGCCGGGCGGCGGGCTCGCCCCGCTCCCCCGGGCCCCTCTCCGCCGTCACAGGCTGCCTGCCCCACACACGCTGCCCTTCTGCGCCCTGGCGGCCTGGCCGGGGTCTTCCCTCCGCCGGGGAGCCCTCGCGTTCCCTCCTCTCCGGGGACGTCAGGAAGGGTTCGTGGACGGGAGCTGATTGGGTCCGTCCTTCTGCTTCCAGAAACTGCTTAATGAAGACGGCCAGGTATAAAATCCTCATCATCCAGACGGACTTTGAGGACGGGGGCCACAGCGCTCAGCTCATCGCGTCGGCTAAGTACGTTTTTCCTGTTTTTCTCATAAACTGCGGGAAATCCCGCCTTTCTCCCCAGACAGCAGCGTAGTCTCAGAATAGGTACGGAGACGAACGTGAGAAACCTTCTCTCCTTTCTCTCCTCAACGTGGGCCAGAGAGACAGAGACAGAGAAGACGAGGCTGATGGCAGTACCGTAGCTGGAAGATGGGAGAGGTGTAGGTAACAGGGCACCGACCGGGGAATGGCGCGGGCTGGCGCTGTGCCCGTCTGTCAAGCCTTACCAGTCACGACGCCCGCATCCCACCCACATCAGTGCCTGGCTCCAGCTGCTGGCTCTGGCTTCCTCCTGGTATAGAGCCTGGGGCAGGGGCGATGGCTCGAGTGCAGGGGTCCCGCCTCCACGTGGGAGGCCTGGACGGGGCTCCCGGCCCCCGGCTTTGGCCCAGCCCAGTCCTGGCCACTGCGGGCAGTGCTTGTCGGCCTCTCGGATGTGTAAATAAAGATACGGGTGTGGAAGAGTGCCCGAGGCACACGTTTGCAGCCGTGGTTTAGAAGTTGTTGACTCTGCGTTTCTTTTGACTTTTTACAAGTTCCAAGACCCAGCAGTGTGCACAGTCTTTGTTAATCTTTTTTGGACATTTTAAAGTGCTCATGGGAGAATGTCAGGATTTCCAGAATTAACTATGTTCCTTTATTACTAAAAGTAAAATTCACGTTTTTTAAAAAAATTATCTACTTCAAAGGCAGAGTTAGGAGGAGAGACAGAGACAGAGACAGAGAGAGAGAGACAGAGAGAGAGACCATGTACTGGTTCACTCCCCCAGTGGCTGCAATGGCCTGGTCTGGGCCAGGCTGAAGCCAGGAGCCTGGCGCTGCCTCTGGGTCTCCCAGGTGGGTGCAGGGCCCAGGCACTTGGGCCGTCTTCCACTGCTCTCCCAGGAGCATTAGCAGGGAGCTGGATCAGAAGTGGAGCAGCCGGGACTCGAACTGGTACCTGTACGGGAAGCTGGTGCTTCAGGCGGGGGCTTGACCTTCTGTGCCGCAGCGCCGCCGCTAAGGAACTCGAGTGTGGGGCTGTGAGGCTGACCGAGGCTCCGGACACCGGACACCGTGCAGCCGCTCTCGGCCGCGTGTGCTCATTTGCTGGCCTCGAGCTGATCCGTCTGTTGTTTGAGCAGGTATTCTGCTACAAATGAAATCAACAAACTGCAAGGACAGGAGGACTGCGTGCTGGTCTACTTCATCACAAAGCTGTCGCGGATGGGGAGCGACGCGGCCTACGTGGGATTCCACGGAGGTGGGGCTGCGGGAGCGGGGAACCGGTGTCGGCGCTGGCTGCACCGCGCCTCGCGGGGTCGGTGCTGTGCACGGCTGAAGTCGAATGTTGGTCTCATCAGGACTCTGGCCTTGAGTCTTGTCCCTGTGCTGAGTCAGCATGGGAGTCCCGCCCCTGTGCTGAGTCAGGATGGGAGTCCCGTCCCTGTGCTGAGTCAGCATGGAGTCCCGCCCCTGTGCTGAGTCAGCATGGGAGTCCTGTCCCTGTGCTGAGTCAGCATGGGAGGCCCGTCCCTGTGCTGAGTCAGGATGGGAGTCCTGTCCCTGTGCTGAGTCAGCATGGGAGGCCCGTCCCTGTGCTGAGTCAGCATGGGAGGCCCGTCCCTGTGCTGAGTCAGGATGGGAGTCCTGTCCCTGTGCTGAGTCAGCATGGGAGGCCCGTCCCTGTGCTGAGTCAGGATGGGAGTCCTGTCCCTGTGCTGAGTCAGCATGGGAGGCCCGTCCCTGTGCTGAGTCAGCATGGGAGGCCCATCCCTGTGCTGAGTCAGGATGGGAGTCCTGTCCCTGTGCTGAGTCAGGATGGGAGGCCCGTCCCTGTGCTGAGTCAGCATGGGAGTCCTGTCCCTGTGCTGAGTCAGGATGGGAGGCACGTCCCTGTGCTGAGTCAGGATGGGAGTCCCGTCCCTGTGCTGAGTCAGCATGGGAGGCCCGTCCCTGTGCTGAGTCAGGATGGGAGGCCCGTCCCTGTGCTGAGTCAGGATGGGAGGCCCGTCCCTGTGCTGAGTCAGCATGGGAGTCCTGTCCCTGTGCTGAGTCAGCATGGGAGGCCCGTCCCTGTGCTGAGTCAGCATGGGAGTCCCTGTGCGCGCTTCTCATCTACTGGTTCACTCCCCAAATGGCCACAACAGCCGGGGCTGGCCAAAGCCAGGAGCCAGGAGCTTATTCCCGGTTTCCCACGTGGGTGCAGGGGCCCAGGGACCTGGGCCATCCTCTGCTGTTTCCCAGGCCACAGCAGGGCGCTGGATCGGAAGTGGAGCAGCCGGGACTCGAATCGGCGCCCATATGGGATGCTGGCGCTGCAGGCCACGGCCTTACCCGCTGTGCCACAGCGCCGGCCCCTCTGTGTCCTCACGTTCATGCTGTGGGGAGCTCAGAGGACATCTCCTGCGGCAGCACGAGTGCCCTGGCACCCGATGCCTGTCTCCGGCAGGAAAGCGCCGTCTCCCAGTCTCTAGGAATGGTCACCCTTACTCGTTAGAGGAGAAACTGGTCTTCTAGAGATGGGCAAATAGTTCCATGCTTTCTCAGCCGATGGCAGGCGCACCGTGCCAGCGCCTCCTGCGTGTCCTGACGGTGACGCGTGCAGGACGGTGACGCGTGTCAGCCATAGGCCACCTCTGTCTGTCCTCCACAAGCTGTTTTCTCCCTTTTTAAAACTGAGCTTTCGATGAAAGCTATTAATATGCATAGGATGGGTGTGGCGGTGGCCGCGCCCTGTGCAGCGGTGGGACTGACCCCTGGGACGTCCGGAGGCCACGGCGAGGTTCCCACGGCGCCTCTCTTCCAGGGCTGTGGCACTCGGTGCACATTGACGACCTCCACAGGTCCACGGCGATGGCCTCGGACGTGACCAGGCTGCAGAACGTCCCCATCAGCCAGCTGTTCCAGCAAGGAGACGGCCCCGAGCGTGAGTCACGGCGGCAGGGTCGAGGGAAGGCGGCGTGGCGGGCGGCGGACAGCGCTGTGCCTTCGCCACCTTTGAGCACAGCACCTGCCCTCGGCAGGAGCCGGGGGTGTGTGTGCTGCCTGGCTGGCTCCTGGTCACAGGGCACAGGCCCGGCGGGAGGCCACAGCTCCACGTGGAGGAGGGATCTGCAGGTGCAGACGGCCCCAGAGCACGCGTAGCAGCGGTCAGAGGCAGCGCTGGTGGACCAGGCGGCCGCATTGGGCAGCCAGACCTGGCGGGAGGCCACGGGAGGCCACGGCTGTGCTGCCCAAGCCGAGCCTCTCCTGAAGGCTGACTTGATGGCGCCCCCTTGGCTTGCAGCGAAAGGCGACCATGAGGGGGACATGGAAGTGGATGAGGCTGAGTCAGGGGCCGCGGAGGTGGTGGAAATGGAGACCGAGAGTCCAGAGGGGATGGAACATGGCGCCCCGGCCCCAGCAGGCAGCGACGTGAGTGCCACTTGCTCCTCCCACATCCCCGCAGGAGCTGGAGAAGATGGGGGGTGTGTGTGTGTGTGCAGGCTGGGGTCTTCCCGTCCCTCTGCGCTGGATGTCCAGGGGCCCTGGGGCGAGCTCTGGCGTCCCTGTCTGCACGAGGCCCCCGGGGGTTCAGCTTTGCTCCGTGGCTGCCATTGGAGCCCCTGGTCGGTGGCCACTGTGTAGGGGTGGCAGGCGTGGCCCGCCAGCTGGCTGGGAGTGGGACCTTGGCCCACGGTGACCGTGTGTGTGTGCCCGTGGTGACCGTGTGTGCCCGTGGTGACCATGTGTGCCCGTGGTGACCATGTGTGCCTGTGGTGACCATGTGTGCCCGTGGTGACCGTGTGTGCCCGTGGTGGCCGTGTGTGCCCGTGGTGACCGTGTGTGTGTGCCCGTGGTGGCTGTGTGTGCCCGTGGTGACCGTGTGTGCCCGTGGTGACCGTGTGTGCCCGTGGTGACCATGTGTGCCCGTGGTGACCGTGTGTGCCCGTGGTGACCGTGTGTGCCTGTGGTGACCATGTGTGCCTGCGGTGACCGTGTGCCCACGGCAACCGTGTGTGGGGCCACCGTGCTTGTGCTCGGCCTGTGCGGGGGCACTGAGCACTTGACCGTGGCCGTCGGCAGGTGCCCCTCCTGGACAGCACCCAGCTGCTGCAGAGCTGCGTGCAGAGTGCCGTGGGGATGCTCCGGGACCCGGCCGAGAGCGGCCAGCGCAACATGAGGAGGGTGGAGCTGCTGCTGGGGCTCCTGAGCGGGGACGGTGAGCGCCCGGCCCGGCCCCGCCCCTCCCGCCTGCCCTGCAGCCCGGCTGGCCGTGCCAGAACCTCAGAGCCGGCCAGAGGCCGGGCGGCTTCCCATGCGGACGGGGGCGCGGGGCGGCGATGGCGGGGCGGGGCGGGGCGGGGCGCAGGGCCGGTGTCAGCCTCCCGCCCCTTCGCAGCCGCCTTCCTGCAGGTGCTGAAGGTGCGGCTGCACGGCCTCCTGAGGAGGCAGGAGGAGAACCAGCTGCGCAGTCAGGACTGGGTGCTGAGGGCGGCGTCCAACCAGGACGCGCTGCAGGAGGCCGGCACCTTCAGGTACCGGGAGCGTCTCCGCGCCCTGCGCCGCCCACCGGGGGCCGAGGCCTTTCCTTCTGAGCCCCCTGCGGTCCCAGCCGGGCTCCGTGTTCCGGCGAGCACAGCACGACCCTGGTGGTGGTGGTGGTGTGTGTGCCCTGAGCTCTCTTCCCTGGTGCTGCGCCGATCCGAAGCCAGGAGCCAGGTGCTTATCCTGGTCTCCCATGGGGTGCAGGGCCCAAGCACCTGGGCCATCCTCCACTGCACTCCCGGGCCACAGCAGAGAGCTGGCCTGGAAGAGGGGCAACCGGGACAGAATCCGGCGCCCCGACCAGGACTAGAACCCGGTGTGCCGGCGCCGCAAGGCGGAGGATTAGCCTAGTGAGCCGCGGCGCCGGTCATGATGAGGTTTTTAGCAGAGTGGCCGAGTGACGTTCCCAGGCCTCTGCTTGGTCGTGGGACCCACAGAAGTAGGACCCAGGGGAATCACTTAGTGTCCATGGTCCTTTTCTTTTATTTTTTCCTAAAAAAATATTTATTTAGTTGAAAGATGAGAAACCTGTCGGGAGGCGCAGTCCTTGAATGCCTGCAGCAGCCGGGGCTGCGCCAGGCCAAAGGCGGAAGCCTGGAGCTCTGTCCTGGTCCCACAAGGTGGCGGGGCACCAGATGCCTGGGCCCTGACCTGCTGCCTCCAGGCCCATTAATTGGGAGCTGCAAGCAGAGACAGAACGGCTGGGACTCGAGCCGGTGGTCTGATCTGGGGAGGTCTGACCTCCGTGACAGGCACTGGCCTCACCCACCGTCCACGATGCCAGCCCCGGTTTTGTCAGTTCCCTCAGAGCTTCCCTTCACCACCCCTTGGGGTCCTGCAGTCCCTGTCCCGCGGCCCATCGCAGCTGGCCATCACCAGTGACGTCCCACTCAGTTCGCCTGTCTTGGGGGCTGGCTTCAGGTGCCCGCCCACAGAGTCCACCGACCCCTGTTGCCGTGGGGTTTGTTTTTAAAGATTTATTTTATTTATTTGAAAGGCAGAGTTACAGAGAGAGAGAGAGAGAGAGAGAGATAGAGAGAGGTCTTCCATCCGCTGGTTCACTCCCCAAATGGCCACAACGGCCAGAGCTGAGCCGATCTGAAGCCCGGAGCCAGGAGCTTCTTCCAGGTCTCCCACGTGGGTGCAGGGGCCCGAGCACTTGGGCCGCCCTCCACTGCTTTCCCAGGCCACAGCAGGGAGCTGGATCAGAAGAGGAGCAGCCGGGACTCAGCCGGGGCCCATACGTGATGCCAGCACTGCAGACCGGGGCTTTAACCTGCTGTGCCACAGCCCCGGCCCCTCGCCCTGGGTTGTCTCCCTGGGGAGGGTCCTTTCTCACCCTTAACGTACCTGGGATTCCAGCGCCACCCTGGTGCAGCGTGTGGTGCCCCGCCCAGGGAGCCAGGCGGCGTCCGGGACCGCAGCCCCGTGGTGACTCAGACCACAGCGGGGCCCTGTCTCCCGTGGCACTGCAGGAACTCCCTCTGGAAGCGGGTCCAAGGCGTGGTCACCCCGCTGCTGGCCAGCGTGGTGTCGTTCATCGACAGAGACGGCAACCTGGAGCTGCTGGCCAGGCCGCGCCCTCCGGCCTGGACACGGGCTCTGTGGATGTTCATCTTCACGGACACCAAGCTGCTGGACATCCCCCTGGTGACGAGTGACACCAGGTAACGGGAGGCCTCCCTCTGCCCCGGGCGCTCTCCCGAGGAGCCAATGCAGTGTAGGCGTCGCTGGGAGAGTCGTGGCGTGGTAGTGACCGGCGACGCCCGTCAAGTCCAACGAGCCCTTGTCCCTTCTTTCCTGTTCTCGGAGTTAAAACGGCCGCTGGGTCCGGGGTCCCCTCCTGACCCCTCCTTCCCTGGGGAGAGCCACTCGGTCTAGCTGCAGGCTGACCAGTTTGGGAGGTGGGTTGGGGAAGAAGGTAGAAGACAGGTGCTGCTGGCACCCAGGAGAGGCCCCTGGCCACGGCCCCCGCGTCCAGGAAGGGCAGGTGCAGCCACCAGCAGGCCCGGTTCTGCCAGACGTCAGGCACCCTGCTCGGCCCTGTCTGGCTTTGGTTTTGTCTGTGAGCCAAGGGGTCGCGAGGTCTCCCTCTCCATAATTCTCTCTGGACGGAGACCCTGGCCCCTGGGTAGCCTCGCCCCTTGTCCTCGGGGCCTCGGGGAGGGGCCGGTCCTGTGCGTCGGGCAGGCCTCGCGACCGTGACCTGTGTTCACTTGCCTTGCCGCAGATCCAAAGGCGAGGTGACCTCCATCTTGGTGCAGAACCACATGAGCCTCCCCGAGGGCGCCGACACCCCGTTCAGCTGGAGGATCAAGGACTACCTGGAGGAGCTGTGGGTGCAGGCTCAGTACATCACCAATGCCGAAGGTGAGGCCCCGACAGGCGAGCAGCCCGCGCGCCCCCGTGAACACGCAGGCGGCGGCGGCCCCGACTCCCGGGGCTCTGGTTCCGCTCGGCACGCGGAACGGCCTCGGGTACACGTCATTCCTCACGTCAGTTTATTTTTTTAAAGACTTGTTTGTTTATCTGACAGGAGCAGCAGATGGAGGGAGCTCTTCCATCCGCTGGTTCACGCCCCAAGTGGCTGCAGAGGTCGGGCCGGGCCGGGCCAAAGCCGGGAGCCTGGAGCTCCATCCGGGTCTCCCGCATCGGTGCAGGGGCCCAGGGACTTGGGTCGTCTTCTGCTCCTTCACAAGGAGTTAGCATCGATCTTCCATTTAAAAATTTCTGCTGGCAGGGCATTGTGGTACGCAGGTTAAGCCACCGCTTGGGATGCCAGAATCCGTCCCAGAGGGCTGGTTCCAACCAGCTTCCTCCTGACGCGTCTGGGAGGCAGCAGAAGATGGCCCACGTGTTTGGGTCCCTGCCACCCAGGTGGGAAATTCAGATGGAGTTCTGGCCTTGGTCTGGCTCATACCGGCTGTTGTGGCCATCTGGGGCATGAACCAGTAGATGGAAGCTCGCTCTCTCTCTCTCTCTCTCTCTCTGCCTTTAAACACACAAGTCTTTAACAATAAATAAGTAGAGTTTCTGCGGAAGGAGTGACGGGGGCACCTGGGCTCGGGCCTGTGCGTCTCACAGCGAGGGGAGCCCTGTGTGCTGCCCAGGGTTGCCGTGCAGTGGACCGCGTGTGGCCGGGAGAGAACTTTTCCTGCCGCTCCGTGGCCATTCCCATTCCAAGCTTCCTGGGCACCTCGGGTACCGGGATCGGGAGGTGTCACCAGTGAGCTTCGCTGGCCCACGCTGGTCCCCAGAGCGGAGTGTCCCCCTCCACACAGAGCGGCCGGGCAGTGGCCACAGTCGTCCCAGGGAAGCCAGCGGTGACCAGTGCTGGTGGAGGGCCGTCCGGTCAGCGCTCCCGCTCCCGGTCGGAGTCCTGAGCGTGCTTATCCTGGCGAGCAACTCACTTCCTCCTCCGGGGGGGGGGGGGGGGGGCGTGCGACCCGGCGGCCGGCACCTTCATCTAGGGGGCAGACCTGCCTGGTCCGCGAGCCAGCCCCGCACAGCGGCCACTCCTTCCCCATCACTCGGGTCCAGGGGCTCCCCACGCGTGCACGGGCAGTGAAGACCCCGTCCGTGCCCGGTCTTTTCCCGCTGTGTGACCCGCGTTGGACACAGATGCATCCTGTCTTGTCCGCTGTCAAATGTCATCAGTGTCTGGACAGCAGCCATCTCTGCATGGCCGCGGGAGCAGGCAGCGGCTGCCCCGCGTCTGGGAGCTCCGGCCGCGGCCGTTCAGCCTCTCAGAGGCTCCCTCTGCCCGCAGGACTGCCCGGGAAGTTGGTGGAGATCTTCCGGCAGACGCCTCTCGGCAGCTTTGTCGCGCGGCTCCCTGCGGAGCAGCAGCGGGAGCTTCTCCAGTGCTTCCTGAGGGACTTCGTCCTCTTGAGCATGAGTGTGTCCACGGGGGAGGAATTCAAGGTAGAGGCGGCCGCGGGTCTAGAGCGCATCTCGCGTGGGAGGGCCCGGCGGGCTCTGCCCGGAGCCGGTGCTGTCCTGTTTGGGGACCGGAATGTGGTCTGTGCAGGGTGCCGGGGGCTAAGTGCCACGTGAGCCTCCTGGGACACTCAGGGCCAGGGCCTCCTGGACGCTGAAGAAGCCAGGAGCCCAGAACGCCATCCGGGTGCCCACGTGGGTACAGGGGCCCAGGGACTTGGGCCTTCTGCTCTGTCTTCCCAGGACCATTAGCAAGGACCTGGACTGGAAGTGGAGGAGTCAGGGCTTGAACCGGTGCCCTTAGGGGATGCTGGCAGTGGCTTAACCCAGCGCACCAACGCCAGCCCCTGGAACACCTTCTTACGTGTTTAGTTTCTCTGCAAGAAAGTTATGTAAATATTTAACTGATCCCTCAGGGTAACTGAAAGACAGAGACTTTGACCACATGACAGTTTCAGACTGCACAGCACAGAGAGGGAAGTCCCCACTGTGGGGAGAATGTGCCTACAGCCGGCACGACTAAAGGGTGCCCCGGGCTGGGCACCAGCAGAGACAGGCCCTGACCTTTATTTAAGATTTATTTTATTTGTTGGAAAGAGTTACAGGGAGACACACACACACACACACACACACAGAGCTTCCATCCCCTGGCTCACTCTCCAAATGGTCAAAATAGCCAGGGCTGGGCCAGGCTGAAGCCAGGAGCTTCATCGGGTCTCGCACGCAGGTGCAGGGGCCCAAGGACTTGGGCCGCCTTCCGCTGCTTTCCCAGGCCACAGCGGAGAGCTGGGTTGGAAGTGGAGCAGCCGGGACTCAAACCGGCACCCGTATGGGATGCCGGCGCGTCAGGCCAGGGCGTTAACCCGCTGCGCCACGGCGCCGGCCCCAGGTTGCAATTCAAGGACTCAGAACTCCTTGTCTTTCCAGCTTCTGCAGATGGCTCTGTGGGCCTGCATGCGGGAGCTCAGCGCGGCCGCGGGCCAGCCGGAGGACGGGCTGTCCCTGCCGTGGGTGCTGCTGGCGCAGCAGCACTTCGCGAGCCGGCTGCAGAACCTGTCCCGCATCCTGACCCTGAAGCCGCAGGTCCTCCCCAGCCTGGCACAGAAGCACGACCTGGCCGGCAGTGAGATGGTACGGCTCCCCCGGGGCCTTGAGCCAGCGTTGGGTACTTCTGCCTGCCCCCCACCCCCATCCCGGGCACGGAGAGCGCGGGGCTGTGTTCCGGACGGGAGGCTTCTCCGTGCGTCTCATCCTTGGGCCTACGGCTGGGTTGGGTTACAGATCGGGGCCCAGCAGGGTGTGGGTGGGGCTCTCCTCCGCGTGCCTGACCGGTCCCCTTCCTCGCAGACGCTGGATGTGTTTGCGGCCATGGCCTGTGCAGAAATGCTGACCAGAGACACCCTGCAGCCCAGCGCCCGGGACTGGCTGCAGCAGGTGAAGAGCCTGTCCACGCCGCTGGAGCTGGTCTGCTCCGAGGGCCACCTGCAGGGCAGCGGGCACGAGGCCAGGGCCGTCAGCCGGGAAGTCAGGTGAGGCCCAGAGCCGGCCCTGCCCGTGCCGAGCCCTGTGGGGGAGGCAGCGCAGTGGGGGCTGCTTTCCCACTCGGCCCCCGGGAATTCACAGAACCTTGCTAAGGCCCAGCCGTCGCTGACGCTGTGCATCTGGGGAGGGGGCACTGCGTTCGCGGGGGCCATAGAAGGGGCGGGGTCAGGAGGCTCGCACACGAGGACAGCTCGGAGCAGGTCGAGGGGACAGCAGTGAGAGAGGGGGACGGGCCACCAGGGTCTGCCCTGCCTCCTGAGAGTCCATTCCTGCCCGGGCTGTGCCGCTCAGGTGGGGACCCTGCAGTGGGTGGACGCGGTGGCAAGCAGTGTCCCTGAGTGGCCGCTGAGCTGGCATCTGCGGGCGGCAGTGGGTGGACAGCAGGGCTGGCCCTTAGCCCGCACCGGCCGTGCCCTCCCCGCTCTGTCCTCGCTGCCCTCGGGTGTCTTGGTGGGAGCTGAGCGGCCCCTCTTGGACAGCCCAGTGGCCGTGCCCTCCCCACTCTGTCCTCGCGCCCCTCTTGGACAGCCCAGTGGCCGTGCCCTCCCCACTCTGTCCTCGAGCCCCTCTTGGACAGCTCAGTGGCTGTGCCCGCCCCACTCTGTCCTCACACCCCTCTTGGACAGCTCAGTGGCCGTGCCCTCCCCGCTCTGTCCTCACTGCCCTCGGGTGTCTTGGTGGGAGCTGAGCGGCCCGTGTTGGACAGCCCAGTGGCCGTGCCTGCCCCGCTCCGTCCTCGCGCCCCTCTTGGACAGCCCAGTGGCTGTGCCCACCCCGCTCTGTCCTCACGCCCCTCGGGTGTCTTGGTGGAAGCTGAGCACTCCTCTTGGACAGCCCAGTGGCCGTGCCCGCCCCGCTCTGTCTTCGCGCCCCTCTTGGACAGCCCAGTGGCTGTGCCCACCCCGCTCTGTCCTCTTGCCCCTCGGGTGTCTTGGTGGGAGCTGAGCACCCCCTCTTGGACAGAGCCCAGTGGCGCCGGATCTCCTCCGTGGCGCTCTTCGTGGAGCACGTGCTGCTGGGCGCCGAGAGCCAGATCCCCGAGCTGTGCCCGCAGGTGACCTCCTACGTCTTCTCGCTGGACAAGGTGAGTCGCTGGGCCTGCAGCAGGGAGCTGATTCCCCAGAGAGAAGAACCGGCCGCGGCCCGGCAGTTAGAGGCGCCGGAGGCCGTGGAGACCCAGGCTGCGGGAAGACCACTGTGTATGAGGCAAACAGAGAGAGAGAGAGAGAGAGAGAGAGAGAGAGAGAGAGGCAGCACTCCCATCTGCTCGTTTCCTCTCCAGACGTCTGTCTTGGCCCCAGGCCAGGAGCCAGGACTCAGTCCGGGGCCTCGACCCCTTGAGCCGTGCCTCCCAGGGTCTGCCGTAGCAGGAAGCTGGGGTCAGGAAGAGAGCTGGGGCTGGAGCCCGGGCGCTCCAGTGTGGGACGCCGGCATCTTAAGCCGCCCCTAAACACGTCTCTGGGTTCCATTTCCCCAGCATGGCCTCGACAAACCCGTGTCTCTAGAGAGGCAGAGGACAGGGTGTCCCCAGCAGGCTGCCCACCCTCAGTGTCCCTGTTCACGCGCCCTGTCCAGGCTGCCGAGTCAGGGCGTGGCGTCGGGAGGGGGACGGCTTTGCGCGTCGCCTGCGTAGAGGGCTTCCTGAAACCCCCGGGAGCGTGAGGGAGTGGGTGCTGCCTGGGCTCTGGGGGCGCTGTCACATCGCCGTGGACGCGGGACAGGGCGGGGACACCCTGCTGCTGAGGCTGGGGGCAGCACTGCGCTGTCGGTGGGACATGGGAGCAGGAAGCCCCAGCACCTCGCAGAGCAGCTGGTGACCGCGCCAACGGAGCCTCGGTGCAGGGAGCTGCCGTCTCGTGAGCGCCGTCTCGTGAGCGCCGTCGCCGCAGCCAGGGCCGCTCCCGGGAGCCCTTGCGGCGGGCCTGGAGCTCTTGCCGTCGGTGCCTGAGCTGTGCAGCCCTGGAAACGCCCTGGGGCACCGAGGGCAGCTGCCGTGGAGCCCGATGCAGCCGCCCCCCCGACCTGACGGCGTGCCCTCGCTCCCACACGCTCACACCAGACGGGAGTCAGGCGCCCAGGCTCCTGCCATCTCGCCCTTCGTTATCCTCAGTGCACAGCTTCCATCCCACGGCCTCAGAAGGCCGCCCCGGTGTCCCGGCCCCGGGACAGAGAGAAGGGGAGTGGGTGCCCCCTGGCCTCAGGCTGTGCCCTGCGCCTGGCTCCCGTCCTGTCCTGAACCTCCTCCCCGGGCCTGATACGGAGCAGAACTCACAGGCGCCTCTGACACAGGAGAAGGGGGCGGGAGCTGGCCGCTCGGACACCCGTGGCCACCCCTCTTCCCACACGCACCGCCTGTGGCCTCTCCAGTCTGCCGTCCCTCCGCCAGCTGGGGCCGATCCTGGGAGTTCATGGGTGGCTCAGAGTCGTCAGGGGTGAAGTTTAAAAATAAACTCTAAGCAACGCTTTCAAAGGCTGGGAGAAAAGCGTCTGGGAGAGCCAGCGATGGTGGGGGGATTCTGCCACGGCTTGAGGCCCCCACCCGCCGCGAGCCTCATGTGAGTCCCAGCTCCTGTTCCAATCAGCCTCCTGCTACCGGGCTCCCCGCAGGCAGCAGGTGGTGGCGCAGGACTCGGGTCCCTGCACCGACGCGGGAAACCTGGGTGGAGCTCCGGCTGCTGCCTTTGGCCTGGCCTGGTACTTACGGGGTGAACCAGCAGATGGAAGGTTGCTCTCTCTGCATTTCAAGTGAAATGAAAATAAGTTAATTCTTTTACATTCATGGTTTGGAGAACAAGGACTGTGGGTCACTGGGGATGAGCGGGGCGAGGAGCCCATGGGGCTCGGTGACTTCCAGGCGTCCACGCGTCGCCACGTCCAGCCTCGGGTTCCAGAGCAGAGCTGTCCGCCCCTCCTCTCCCGTCCAAGCCCTGCGTCCACGTGCAGAGCTGGAGAACCAGTGCAGGAATGCGGGGGTGGGACCGTCTGCACTGAGGCTGGCCAGCTCTGAATACCCCTCACCCAGAGAGCAGGTGGCAGGGGGCGCTGTGCAGAGCTTAGCGTGGGCGGGCCGGACCTGTCAGATCAGGACCGCCGGCTGCAGGAGCCCCGTGCAGCCGCCGCCTCGCCCCCGCTGCTAAGCGTCCCATACGGGAGGGAGCCGTGTCTGCGCGCGCACACGCGTGTCCTCCCTGGGCCGGTGGGGAGGGAAGTGCAGAGTTGCTTGGAAAAGTGGTCTCAAAAAAATATTCCCGGGCGAGCGCCGCGGCTCACTAGGCTAATCCTCCGCCTGCGGCGCTGGCACCCTGGGTTCTAGTCCCGGTCGGGGCGCCGGTTCTGTCCCGGCTGCTCCTCTTCCAGGCCAGCTCTCTGCTGTGGCCCAAGTGCTTGGGCCCTGCACCCCATGGGAGACCAGGAGAAGCACCTGGCTCCTGGCTTCGGATCAGCGCAGCTCCAGCCGTAGCGGCCATCTGGGGGATGAACCAACGGAGGGAAGACCTTTCTCTCTCTCTTTCTCACTGACCCTGCC